TTGTACGTACAGCGACCTGCCCGACTCTGATGCGCTTACCACACGCACAAGCTTCACCACAGTTTGGCCTAATGATGTTACGGTCTTGAATTTTGACAAACCGGATTTGATCGGTTAGTAATACATGAAAATCGATTTCCGAACCGAACCACCAAATTTTCAGTAAACCGCGGTTTGAACCGTTTGACGAGTTGACGAATAAAACTAACGAAACAACAGGTGCTATTTTTTTTAAGCTGGGCAATTACGTCGCATATTACATAATAATGAAAACAAAATTATACCGCCAAGTCAGTCAAATCTACCAGAGTCCGTTTCATTTCGTTTCGGTCGGTAAGTCGGTTATGGCTGTTGTATTTAAATTGACGATGCGCGCTAACCAGTGTGACCAACCTTAAATTATAGATCCTGCCCCGCTTAGGCAAAAAAACTGACAAATCCTGCCAAACTTTTATGCACAAAATGCCGAAATAATGCCAATACAATTTTAAAATTCAAAATAAATAATCACATGATATTTTTATATTTTTATTTTAAATAGCTTTATACATTCGTATTAGTCTCGTATTCTTTTTGATCAATTTCTTTATACATCGCTTTTGTCATATTTAATCATACCTTTTGTTGGCTGGAATGAAACGCAGTCACCATATTCTTTAATGCCTTGTTTTACATGCAAAATAGAGGCGACATGTTTATTGATAAATATGTTCCGGGTTTTATTTTATAAGGTTGATTTGCGAGAATATTCTTTCACAAGCAGCATTCGACATTGGCAAACACAACAAACATTTTACAAAATTAGAAATATTTACGTATTTTGGATTTTGCCAACGGCACCCCAAAATTTATCAACACTTAGAATTGACTTTGCATTACTTTCACCAGATTCTAATAAATCACTAACGTCATTATCAAGTTTTAATTGTCTGTATTCGTCATCAATTTTTTTGAATTGTATGTTCATCAACAAGATTGGGAAATTGGGTTATAACATTGGCTATCGAAGAAAACTCCTTGTATATAGGGTTGCAACGATATATCGGAATATCGATAATATCGAGACCAAAATATCGATATTTATATCGATATTTAAAATTCACTGATATCGATAATATCGATATGGGAAATTCCAAAATATCGATATTTCGTAGACTAAATTTAAACACAATAATATCAATTAATTTACCTGCTATGACTATCTAAATTGAATAATATCGAAATAACTATTGCTTTGAAATCGCAAGAGCTTACAGATGTATTAAAAAAATCTTGAACCCCAAGAAATATACTAAACTGGTGTGGATTCTGGCATGATTCTCTCAACCTAAAATTAAATTTGACAACAGTGTATATAGAGAATGACAAGGAGAGACTGATGTTAAATTTAGTTTTAAGTTTAGATAATCATGCCAGAATCGACACCAACGTATATAGGTATAATCGTATACCTAATGGTAACTCATGCACTTAAATAAAATCCTTGTCTCTCTTTCTAGATTATTGTCAACTACTGATTAATTGAAATTAAATATCATTGTAATATAACACAAAATAAAATTAAGAATCTTATACAAATCGTAAATTTTTAAGCTCGCCAAGTCAAGAAAGTAAGTTATGTATAGTAATTTTTGAAGCTTTGGGCTTAACCTATTCTGAAGCCATGGGCACGCCCCTGATGTGTGGGAGACTAAGCAATTTGCGTATCTGATGTGCGCTAAAAAACCGACATAGCTTAGAAAAGCACGAATGTAGTGAAAACTTAGCGAAGGCATTCGCAAATGTCGTCCCACATATGCGGGTTGGCGCATTCGTGCTAACAAATGTGAGTGATCTGATCAGGATAATAATTTTAATTTTTTGGTTTCCTGTCGTGGCTGAAACACAAACCGTGCGAGTCAAAAAAAAATCCTGCTTGGCGCGATTTCATCAAGCGTGTTTAAAGAAAAAGCTGGCTCAATGCATTTTGCGAGAAACTCGCCAACAAACATATGAATGTGTCACACTCACCCCGTATTTTAATGTCAATAAAAAAAAATATCGATATATCGATAATATCGAGTTAAAATGGTCGATATATCGGATATCGATATTTTCCTGACTTCGATATAAATATCGATATAATATCGATATTTCAAAAGACTTTGCATCCCTACTTGTATACAACGTCTTGAGGAGCTAAGAACTGTAATTGTTTAAAAGAGTGTTTAATGGCAGACGTGTTTTTAGTTGACTTGAAAGTTGAATAAGAAATGATTGCATATGCTCAAGAAACGTTTGTATCGCAGGTTTCAGATTTATATCTCTTGCTAGACAAGTGATTTCTCTGCTGACGTTGACACCTAAATACATATCCTTTAAAGGTAGGTAGTTAACTGCTCTGCTCCCACTCTACGCGATATAATCGTTCATATTTACGTTTCATGGTAATATGGTAACTATTCACACACACCACACGAAATCAGAAACAAAACAAATCTGTGTCTCCGACAGTTTTTCTAGTCCGACTAATTACATAAACAACTGACAAATAAAGATATAGGTAATATAAACATTATGCTCCGCGCTTTAAGGTTCACAATGAAATGAACTACAAATTCAACTAGAGATGTTATGGGAAATCCCCGAAACAAAGGTATCGTTGCCAATGTTGCCATTGGCATTTTAAAATTCCTACCTACTGTTTTTTCGTTTGTCGATCCGCACCCTACTCATATTAAAGGATGTATTGCGAAATATATAAAAAGAGCTTATATTGCTATAACGATCTATAATCTAAAGATTATCCTGCAGGACGATAATTTCTATGAAAAAAATATAAAGTGATCGGCATGGCGTCCAAGGTGATAAACTGCCAAATACTGCCAGATTTCTAAAACGTCAAACAAATATGCCAGAGAGGAAAATAAAGGGCTAAACCTGCCGAAAGGGCAGGATCCTGCCACATATGGTCACACTGGCGCTAACCATATCCGCTGCTTTAAGTCGGTTCGTATTGGTCGGTCAAGTTTTATTAGGGTCGGTAAAGCACGTCAGGAGCCGCACGCGATTTGTGGATGGCGGCATAAACAAGAATTGACAGGCGCGCATGCGCGCAGCGCGATACGAACGAATGCCACGGTAGAACCGGTTTACGAAGACGTTAACCGATTCAACTCGGTCCATGCTCAAACCGGTTTGAACCGGTTTGAAAAGTCGAGTCGTTATATCTCTAGACTTTGGCCTGCGCAAGCATGTCGCACGAAAAAACTGTACACTTTGTGCGTTACCACACGGCACAGTTAAGTACGCGCAAGCCTCATTCTTATCGAAATCATTGGCGTGGTAGGGATGTCGAAAGTTGAAAAAAATATCGATATATCGATACATCGATATTTTAAAAAATATCAATATCGGCTTCGATATATCGCGAAAAAAACATCGATATATCGATATATCGGACCAATTTTCCCAAAAATATATTTAGATAAGCCTAGCACATTAATAATAACAATACAAATTACAATTGAAGAAAGAATTATCAAAGTACCAAATTGCCGCCACACTACATGACAGTACAGTATCTCACGAAAGATGACACGCGGAATAATAATGGAACGAAAATTATCTACCTAAAATAGACCCTATTTTCGAATGATGAAAATGATTGCAGGACCTCTCAGGTGCCATCTTTCGTAAACAAGACTAGACAGTCACACACTTCCACAGAATATAATGGAATTCAGCACAACCAATTCAGTACTAAATACAACACAGTCCACAGATCATATCCAGTTACGATTTTTCCAGATACGAATTTAGTTGGATCGTGATATGCCGCTAATAATTAAAAAATATCGTTTTGACGTGACAACGTCTTAAATTAGGTTGCGGCTGGGAGTCACTTATGAAAAAGTGTAACGCTCGGTAACGTTACGATGAGTCTCTCGTGTTAAGTTTAAGTTTACATGTACAATGTTTTAGTAAACAAAATATATTTCTATAGTTAAAATTTGTGCAATTCTTATTTTCATTCAATTCCTTGTTCCTATTGTGCAATTTAATTATATTCATATCAATAAATATTCTACCGAGAAAAAGACGTTGTCACGTAAAATCTTCGCCCGTAAAACCGACTTTACAGGCAACCATTTTTGATACGAATTTCGATATTGGTTATTTTGTATCGATGTATCGATATATCGAATCAAAATATATCGGCTAATAATATCGATATATCGTACAAAAAATATCGATATATCGATATATTTTCAACAAGCCTATGGCGTGGAAACAATGTTTCCTAATGAAGAAACATTTCTTATGCTACTATTTTTCAAGTGTTTGCTATTAAAAAAAAAGACAACGCAAAAGTCAAAATTTAAGCGATCAAAAAAATTGTCAAAAACATGTAAAAACGATAGGTACTGGTAGGTAGGTAGGTAGGTAGGTAATAGGTATTAGGCATAGGTTTTTAGTTGCAAAAATTATGTTCTTACCTCTTTCATTTTATTTATCATTCTTTCGTAGGCGTCGTTCTTTTTATTTCGGTCGGAATAATCTTTAGATTTAATTTTCCAAAGTGCAGGCAGAGATTTGTATAAACTACGCAAATCTGCCATTTTTGAGTGACGATGACGAACGACCTCATGAAACGACGAGCGTGCTTCGACACAAAGTACACTAGACTGTGGCTTGAACACTGAACGCCCAACCACGCAGGCCGGGCTTGCGCAGGCTTTCAAGCAAGTCGAAAAGTACGCAGGCCGCGCTGTGGGGTTGGCGCGTGATACAGTTTTACCAACTACACGCACCGTGTTCCATGTACAAACTGGCCTGCGCAGGCAAAACTGTGGTGAAGCTCGTGCGTGTGGTAGACCCATGAGCGACACAGTTTATTGTTTACTGGCACTCTGTCCGCCTTTTTTTATATGTCCATGATGCTTTATTATCAGCATCGCATTCAACAAAAAATTCAGACATTAGAATTGAATCTTTGATTGTTTAATGAATAACAGAAAATGGAATCTAAAAATATTGTCTTAATAACTTATGGCAATGTTAAAGTTGTGAGGTACAATAAACCGAAAAAGAGAAATGCTTTGGACATTAACATGTATATGACAGTATCAAGAATTTTAGAAGAAGCCGCAAGAGATGATGATATTAGTGTAGTAGTTTTGACAGGTACTGGTGGCATTTATAGTAGCGGTAATGATATCACGGCTCCTAGAAAATCTGAAGGTGCCTATGACCTGTTTTCCGCACTTAATGATTTCATCAGATCTTTTATCAACTTTCCGAAAATTTTGATAGCTATGGTAAATGGTCCAGCTATTGGTATTGCAGCAACAACATTACCTCTATGTGATTTGGTTTATGCCTCAGAAAATGTAAGTACTACCTGCTAGCTATTTAGCAATTAGTACTCTAATCTTACTCATCTCTCTCTAAAATCTTTCCTTATTACTGAGGAGCTTACACATCTCAGTTTAATACAGTTGGTACCACATGCTCTTTTGTATTATTTCAAATCATATTATTCAGTTATGAACACAGTGCCTAAAATGCAAGATGCCACTGCTGCGTAAATGCCTAACACTTCAATAGACTTAGAAGTAGATTGCCTACTCATGAATGCCTAGACATTGTAATTGCCTAAATGTTATTTGTGCACAAAACAACATGCCTTAAATGCATCATATCTTTTAATGCTTTTGTGCTAGTTTTTTTGGAAACTCTTATTGGAAAGGGTTGTTGTAATTTGATACTAGTACTTGAAAATTATAATAAAGTCTATTGTGTCCTGAAGCTCAGTTTTAAGTTTAAAATATATTTGTATTTTTAAGGACTTGTGGGTACCTATAATCTTATTTTTGAGAAATAGAAGATTTGTTTTAAGTTTTAATAATACAGTTTCTTTTATTATTCATTAATATTTAAAGATTTCAAATTGATGGTTACAGCAAACATTATTGTCACATACATACCTACATTGCAGGCAATCTGCTTCTTAGTCAACTTAAAATGCTTTTAGGTATTATTGGAGTAGTGGCATCTTTCATTTAAGACAGTCTGCTTTTTAGTCGAAATAACTTGTTAGGCATTATTGATGATGTGGCATCTTGTATTTCAGGCACTGTGCTCATAATTAATATTATTTTGACATATCTTACATCTGCACATTTAGCACTGGTTAGATTTTATACCTAGTTGTTTACAAACTATACTGTAAACTTTGATTACTATTAATCAATGCTTGCAAACACAAAAATAAAACATCAATCTGGTTGAAATAGCTTTAGCCACAATATCTATGTTACTAACTTGTTATTTTGGTAAAATATTAGTTACTGTCACACCATATTCACATTGCTTTATTTCACACTAAGCTATGCTATAATTAAAATCTAAAACTATGCTTTTCTACTAAGTACTAGTAAAATTAGAAGAATATTTTGAATTATTAGTTTCTAGTAGTACTAGTTCTAAAGCCATTGTTTAGAAATTATGGAAGATTACATATCTCTTTTAAATATTTTATTGTATTGTTTCTTTCAGTCATATTTTTACACTCCCTTTACCAAGCTGGGAATTGTGCCGGAAGGATGCTCAACATTTACCTTTCCAAGAATTATGGGGGAAAGAAAGGTATTTCAAGTTTCAAAATTGTATATTAATTTCTAGTTACAGAAAGAAAATTAGGGAGACAAATTTCCACATGTTGACATATTTGTTTTCAATAAATTGTTTTAACTTCTCGACACAAAGTGATTCTTATCTTTTAAAATATGTAAAAAACTATGATGTTTTTCATATTAGATGTATGATCACATATATTTGAATATAGTATTATGATCTTTAAAGTATGCCTAAAGCACTATAAACTCACATAAGTACTTCCTTCTCAATGAAACATTATGTTGCTAGAGAAATTTATTCTCTAAATGAAAAAACAATTGGCTATCTGTTAAGCCTCTTTCATGCCTGAGGCATAAGAATTAATGACACAGATTTATTATTCAAAATTGATTTTTTCCAGGCAGTTGAAATGCTAATGTTTAACTACAAGATGCCAGCAGAAGAAGCCTTGAAGTGTGGCCTTATTAATGGTGTTTTTAAAGAAGAGGAACTGCAACAAAAAGTGTGGGACAGAATTAAAAATGTGACAAATTTGAGATTTGAATCACTAATAGAGAGCAAGAAGTTACTTAGGGGTCCAATTAGAGATAAGTTATTAGAAATCAATGATATTGAGTTAAGGTCAGTTAAATACTTAGTTAACAGAAGCAAAATCTAATGTTCTTTCGAATATGTAAATTAAAATGTTAAATTGATACTAAAGTACCTAACTAATAAGTATGTAGCAAAAATAGATTTGAAGTCCACAATGAACTATATATACAAATAATTGTTGTTTATGTTGAGATGATTCTAATTTATTTACATTAGTATTTATTAACTACATTAATTTTAAAAGATAACCATTAGGTGTTTATAATAATAATTATACCCGCACCTTCCCCTAGCCAGGCGGATGGATGCATAGGGAATATGCATAATTATTTTTTATATTTTTATTTCATAGTTTACATTCCTTGAATATCTTTATATATATAATTCTTCTGTGAGTGTGTATGTCACTGAACTTCTCTTAAACGACTGGACCGATTTTTTGTGTGTGTTTAAGGGAATCTGAGAATGGTTTAGATTCACAATTTTGTCCGCTGGACAATGTTTTTTTAATTAATTTTTAATTTATTAGTAGTTGTTGATTTTGGAATGTTTTACATTGGATCCGACAGACGGCGCTACCATCGCAGTGTCAAATTTTCAAATTAAAGACGTGTAGACAGGACAACGTCTGTCGGGTCCGCTAGTACTTAGCATAAAATTTTTCAACATAGAAAAAAAATATTATATAATGAGTCTAAAAATCTTGTTAATCGTTATCGTTTGTCTGAAAAGTTGGTTTACTGACGATAGTTGAACGTGACAACGTTTTTTTTACAATGTACATAGTTCTATTTAATATTAATTAAACGTCACGAAATAATTCTGTTACTTATAGTTTTGCCAATATAACCTACAATCGCTGCACTAGCGGACCGATGCTATTTATTTTAATGATGAAAGCACGAATATTAGACAATATATCACTGAACATATATTTAATATCAAAAGAATCATTACCTTTATCGCCGCAATTATCGTTGCTATAAACAATTGACACTACATTCACTTTTCACTGCACTTCATACTTTACGAAAACATGTAAATGTATTATTGTATAGCAGCTGTCCACGCGGACGCATCACTCACTCAAGTAGGAGAGAGAGATGTCGAACGCTGCCGAACGCGGAGGCCGATTGTGCCTCTTTGTCGCTCTTTGCGCGCTCGCTTGCACTTCAAGCCTTAAATGGAACGCCTCAGAGCGAGGTAACGTCGCATGAGCATGAGTCATGTTTTTTCGTGCGTGCAGTCGGTTCCATCGAATTATAAGACGTCACGTCAAAATAGCCGCTTTGTATGGGCATTTTGAACATGCGCTATTTTGGTGTGACGCAAAGCAACCTAGCAACAGTAAGTTTAGTTTAGTTTTTCCGGGCGGTTTCCGCACTTAGTCCTAATTATTGCAGCATTGTGCGTGTCTCGTAATATTCCCGTTTATTCCAGCCATCCTACATTAGTCCAGAAGTAATGCAGCCTTGGTAGATTGCTGCAAGCTTCCGGAAACGATTCTGGCGACTGGAGAAGTGCCCGTTCGTTGGTCGGCCACATGATGACATGCTGTGGCGTTTCTTCTGCCTCAATGCATCCTCTGCATAGGGGGCTGTCTATTACTCCTATTCGTAGTCTAGTCTGGTAAGGGTGCGGGCGAGTCTTTTGTTTTCCGGCTGAACTGCGTTTTTCGTTTGTCGGCATCCTTCACCTGTTTTCAGAGTGGAAAAGTGTGATTTCTGAGTTCTTTCACGCAGCCAAGTTTTAATTTGGGCCTAAGACATGGGCAGCAAAGTTTCCGGACCATACACTTTTGTGTCTGCTCCTCTTCTATCCAGTTTGTCTGCTGCATCATTTCCAATCGAGTTGCTGTGTCCTTTTGTTACCGTGTTGCTTACCGCAATGAATTGAAGTGCCTTGTGTTGCTCATTCACCACCGTCATTATGCAGCGTAGTTTAGTGTAGTGCCATGTTCTGAGCTAGCCAATCGCCTGGATTCTGTAAGTAAATGTACTCACCGCGTGGCAATCACTTTGTCGCGGGACTTAGGGATAGGAGACATGCGACTCCCTGTCACTCACGGCAGGGAGGGCTGACGCCCTCACACACGCTCAGTCATGGCACCTGCGGTCATGATTGAGGAGGCCAGATCGGAATTGCTGAACCATCAGCGATCCCGACTGGACTTCTATAGATTTTTTAAGGAGACTTACGGTCTCCCTGATCTCGCGCCTTCCGCGCTTTTCGCCCCGGGCCCGGCGCATTCAGCGCAGCCCGTCCCCCGTCTTGCGCCTTCAGCGCAAACCCCTCCGCAAGTGCCTTCTGCACAATCCGCCCCTCGTCCCGCGCCTTCAGCGCAGAAACCCGCCGCTCCTCTGATCCATGAGGACGCCCCACTGTCCCCCGATGCATCTTTTTCTGAGATTCAGGTCGATGACGAGCGCTCGGAGGCCGACGACTCCAATTCGAGCTCGTCGCCCGAAAACGGGGAAAAAGGCCCTGTAAGCCTAAGACCTTCACTGAATCCTCCTCTGGATCCGATTCCGAGGAAAGAGATCCCCCGATGAAAGCCGCCAAAGCCGACAGTGGCTCTGCGCGCCCTGTCTCGCCGCGACCCAGGCCTTCAGCCATCCCGCGCTCCACCGGCCCTCCGCCTCTGTTTTTTATCCAGGACATTAAGTTCTGGAATTCTCTGTCTAAGGTACTAACAGACATATAAATAACAACCACGGGCGCACCACCGCCACCGGTGTCAAGGTGCAAGTCCCCGACTCCGCGCCTTTGTCCGCCAATACGGGATTGGTTTTCACACATACTCCCTTCCCGAGGAGCGAGTTGTCATCCGCAGCTTGCCGAAGGAGCTCGAAAAGGATTTAATTCTGAAGAAATAAAGAAGAAAGAAAGAAAAACATTTATTGGTTGCACAGCATACATACATTGAAAACAAAAACAGAATTTAAAGAACTTAACAAAAACAAAAAAACAAATAATAATAAACAAAAACAACTAAACTAATCTGCTGGTTGCTGTGCAGGGCCAACAGGTCGCTGTCTCAGCTATGCTACTGTGGTAGTACTTTCGCGATACCACAGCAGCGCTGATTTTCAGCCAGCGCCTAAAGGACCTAAGTCCCAAGGCCTTCCCGCGCACATTGAAAACTGCACCTGTTCACTAAGGACAGGCAGCCGTATGACCTCTTCTTGATCATTCTTGATCTTTCCCCCAAGAGAAAGAAAATTTTCTTCATCAAGGCCATATGCCACCTATCAAATATCCGCGTGGAGCCCCCACGTTGGCGTGGCATTGTCGGACAATGCCATGCCACAACAGAACCGGTCCGAGTGTCCGTACCACTCGGCCCGGTTCTGTTTCGCCCGTGCTCACCAAGGCTGTACCAAGAAAAATCAAACTATACAATAATAGGGATGATGACTAATTTTTTTTTCTTCGTTTATCAGGTAGATTATCAAAAAGTATTGGACACGTATTTTTTCTTTTTTTCACATAATATAAACATTGCAGAGATATATTGATTTGAAAATTCGCATGACGTCACGTTTTTTTAAAGCATAAGAAAGAAGTGGGCTGGACCTGTACCTCGAAATAAAAAAATTTAGTCCAAACGTCTCCTAGAATGGAAGTGAGGCAAAAAACGCCGCAAGGTCTTCCACAGATGCACTGGAAAGATAACGTGAAGAAGGTTCCAGGTTCGAAATGGATACAGAGGGCACAATGTCCCAGTGAATAGAACTTGTTGAATTAGGCTTACACCAAGATGGTTGAAAATAAGGCTAATAAAGAAGAAGAAAGCTAGCTTATGTTTGGTTTGGATAAATACAAGCCAAAATCTATTTATTTTACACATTACAGGTGGACCAGCAGGTAATCTATACAATCCCTAGGAATTGTTTACAATACTTTGGCAAACTATAAAATGATAAATAATATTTATAATATTTCATACACCCCAGACTTCAATACATTATTGTATAGAATACCTGAATATAACGGATAGATTACCGGTAACATACATAATTGAATTTATAATAACACTAACAATAATGTTTTGTAAATATTGTTACATAATTTAATTCTATAAAGTGTTTTTTCGCCTGTTTAGGGGCTGTTCAAGTATTACGTAAGCACTATAGGCGGGCCCCTGCCCCTTAGTTGGGTCTCTACTTTGCTTATTTTTGATGACTTGGGGGGGTGGGGGGTAGAGATGGTGATTACGACAGTATCACCGATTAAGCCTTTTTAAGTACTGGTCATGAAGCTCATGAAAGCTCATGAATCAATAAAAAAAACAGTATACATTAAAGGAAAAATGCATATAGATACCAATGTTTACGTAAGGATGGGGGAGAGGGGTAAGAGCTTTGCTTACTTTTGCTGACAAGGGGGAGGAGGGGGTAGATAATTGTAATAAATCTGCTTACTTAATACTTGAACGGCCCCTTACAGCTTAAATATGACCATAATGCAGGTGGTTGGGAAAAAAATGGACTATTCAAAAGAGTTGTATCTTCCATTTTGAATAAAGAAATGTTGACATTGAAAGGTTTTGTTGAATATAAATTTTAAAATATAATTATTATTATTAAAGTGTAATTATAATTGGTTATTATTAAAGTGGTTTTAATTAATTAAAGTATGCTGCTATATTACAGTTAATAATAAACTTCAATGATTAATTGGATAATACATGGGTTTTAATTGGATAATACATGGTTTACTTTCTGTTGAGTTCAAATAACTATTCATCTATAAAATATGAACCAACTTATGCGATTTTCGTAGCCACCTTGATTAATTAAAATAAAGGACCTAAGAAGCCACTTCAATAAATCAGTCTGTCAATTTTTTAAGTACATCTTAATTAATTTTTAAAATTAAATATAATGAAGTCGAGAACTTCCAGTTTGTCGTCCTTATCGGATTTATTTCGACCCAACAAACCAAAAGGGTTGAGGTCCAGGGATCTTAGCAGCACGCGTTTGAATGTGCTAAAAAAAGAAATATATACCGACTCACATCTCATATCGCTGAGTAAGTTGTAGTGGGAACTTGTAGTCTAATAAAAAGGCTCTGCTCATAAGATGCAGATGGCTGTGGTTCAATTAATCAAGCTGAAACAGGCCCAAAAGTATTGTGTATAAAATATATAAAATCCTGGATCTGACCACACACCGAATATGTAATCGTATCGTAACTAAGCGCAGCTTTCTTTATATGTATTAAATTATAACAGATATATTAATTTAGTCCTATAACATACCTACAATCATGACTCGTCATTACGACTTCATACTCTTATTTAATACTGAAGGATGCCTTCGTGTACATCATTGTGTTTATTTCTTAGGTAGGTACTTATTTATGTAACAACCCACCTATTTTATGTAAGTAGACATTTTCATTCAAGGGTTCTGTGGACGCAGCTAAGTCACATACACTGCTATTCATTGCTTTCTTGAAAGAAATCGGTTACCATAACCTATAGATGCTTGCAATTCCAGTGTAAAGCCGCGTCGCCGCGAGTTACCTAACTTTATTGAACCCATTCCATCCCCAACGGCGTGGAGTCCTAGGGTCTTGTTATTGTAACTGTAACATTTTTGCTTTCGGCATCCTTTAATTGCAAAATTGGGAAAGAGAATCAGATATGTTAAGGCACATTGCCAATTTTTCTTATCAATAAATAAATATTTTTAAAAGTCACACCAATTAGTCTAACCCCGAAGTAAGCACTGTAAGGCTTGTGTTATGGGATGCTAGGGTAACGGATAAAATACATAATATTTGATACATATTTAAATATATTTATATGGAATTATATATAAACATTCTTAATTAAAGTACGTATTCATCATACTATCATTTGCCCCCACGGGGATTCGAACCCGGGACCTCAAGAGTAGGCGACGCCATGAAACCCGGCGTATATATCACTCCATCACAGAGGTCGCCGCTTATGCTTTGAAAGGAAAAGTGAAAGAGATAAAAATAGACAATAAGCCACGGAAAACATTTCTCATAAGCATTACTTGCTCAGTGAGCTAGACAGGGAAGTATTATGTGGATGCATTGAAATGATACCTAGGTACATAGTTAGGCCTCTAGTAAAGAATAATCCTTTTATGTACCAACAATAGCTTCCACCCACGAATTCGTCACTTCGGCCGGCTTAATAGCAAGCGCACATTGAGCCACTGTAGTGGCGGCGGCGGTCGACCATTTTCATATATTTTGTTTACAAAATAATATTATGTCATCGGCGCAAACTAAGCGTCCGAGTGGCCGCCACTAAGCCACTAGCGTCAGCGATCGATAGCTGCGTCTAGTGGCTTAGCTGAGCCACTGACTGGTAGCCGCCACTAGTGGCTCAATAAGCGCTTGCTTTATCTTTTTAAGAACCCCACAGGAACCAAACATTTATCCCGGAATTAGAGTTCCATTATATTTATTTGCATAGGGTACAATGGGGATCATACAATTTTGAGGTTCGGCCCATTCAGCCATCTAAAAAGCATGCAGAGTATCCTATTATATATTGTTTCAATCCAGGTAACAAGCTACAGTTGTGCGAAATTCCATCCAAATCCCTTCAGCCGTTTTGCGGGATTGAGTAACAATATGTCGTAACAAACATACACACTTATTTATAATATTAGTATCAATAAAATTGATGATGATAAATGTACATTTTACTTTACGCAATCTCATAGAAGAATTATACAATATTTTTGGGACCGATCCTGTGCGCGGATTGTCCAGTGCCCGAGCTAAAGAACTGCTGCAGTACTATGGATCCAATACACTAACACCGGCGACACAAAACGGATGGATACGAGTGTTGTTTACTTCACTATGTGCAGGTAAACATTCTATAATATTACAATACACCATAGATAAATGATTGGCCTCGTACACAGGACACCAAAGAAAAAAAGTAGGTATTACATTAAGAGGGTATTTAATAGCTCATATTATTGCTAACTAAAGAAAAGTTTCATGAGTGATGTGAAACAGAGGAAGTGACTAAAATCTAAATTGCATTTTTAACTTAATTTTTTCAAAAATACATTTTTTTGAATTTTTTTTTTTTGGTTAATTTGTCCCTGTTGGGACGGGCAAAACATTTTTTTTATTGAACAATAAATTTATGGCCAGACTAAGTATATTGTACGTACTTACCACAGCCTAGTAGCTACACATTCTATGGTATGTGCTATAATCACATAAGCGGATGGCTGCGCGTGAAAGAAAAACAAGAATCCGCCGCCGGCAACTAAACTTTCTTCAGATAGAAGTAATCTATCAACGGATAAGGCGTCAGTCGGAAAGGACAATGTTAAAATTGGCCTAAGAACCAACACCAATTTGGCATTTATGATAATTCTTAATATATTTTTTGGGATAATTATCAGTATAGATTGTGACGGACACTTCCAGTTAAGTAAGCTAAATTAAAGAGTTAAAAAATAATCTGAGACAATAAATACCATTTTAGGTGTATAATCTATGACGGCGCTGCAAGCTGCAAAAAAGAGTGTTTTGTTTACACTCTTTCTTTCTTATGCCGGCACTTCACTTGCTATTCGTATTTGCTATTTTCAAACATGACATCAGTCTGTCCTTTTCATTCCTTATTAAGCATGACAAGGACAAACTGTTGTCAAGCAAAGGGCCGGCATAAAACTCGATATTCTGTGGTTGTGGTGCAAGCAGGCAGTTTGCATTTGTAGTAATCTGTGGCATTTGTGCATTCCAAAGAGTAATATAATATACAGGAAAGTGCATTCTCGTTTCGGATTACCTGTTTACCTGTTGTTTGTGTGTTTATTTGAGATTGTTCGGCCATCGATGTTACCAAAGAGCAGAGACCTTATTACCAAGTGCTAGTGAACTTGTGTCACAACATCCTGATCATACTGCCAAATTATTCAAGAACACCTGATACACATTCACGCTGCATATTTACACAATTTACATGTGATATACAAATAAATACTGTACGAGAAGACCGCCTTACGACCGAAACGAGAAGAAATAAAGTCAACGGAAGAAACATCGAAACAAGATTGATCTATAAAATGTATCTATAATTTCACATGTATCGGTTGTATACACATTAAAAATGATTATTCCCTTGTTGTCTTATTAGAATGAGTCGGATATCGCAATAATAGATAGCTCTGCTCATAGTAAACCATTGTAAAATTGATAGTTCAGAGCGATATTCCGTCTCGTTCTCTCCAACAATCTTATAAGAATTTGTCTAAACGATCGCCACGACCAAGCGGAGGCGCGGGGAAACTAGTTAGAATATTGATAGTTCCGACCTATAGGAGAAACAGAGACGATAGGCTGTCCTTTTCTCACATCTTATAAGATTTTGCCTGTGTTGATAGTTTTGGATAATAGTATGTTTTATGTTTTGATTGATTTATTTTATGTCTTATTAGAAAATAGGTAGTTATAAGAGTAATATATCAAAGTTTTGTGTAAATCGTATTAGTAGTTTGGGCGTAATTAAGGAAAATGTTGGAAATAGTTTTTTACTAATAGTCGATAGGATATAGGTATAATTGTAATGATAATGATGTTGTTTTGTGTGTTTATACTTCCTCTATAAAATGATATATGATAGTTAGGCATTAAGCGAATGTAAATAGGTTTTTTAAGACTTTTTAATTTGTAAACTTTATAGGGCCGTGGAACTGTTATTTCCTAATATTCTTATTAGAAACTTGTTGTATTAGGTAGATATCGCATAGGACTACATAAATAAATAGGCATCACATCAATAAATGTAGAAATGTACCGTGTAGGAGACAAAATCTGTTTGTATAGAACGGTTTTCTAAGACATGTCCCGCGCCCGGAGCGCGCGGGTGGGGCAGCGGAGCCCCGTGGCAGGGCGAAGCCCTATGGAGGGGGAAAGTATAAATATTGCGGAGACCTATTTTTTGCGCGCCACACCTAAAATATCATGCTTACGGACACATAACTGTGTTAAAAATATGCCTATATGTATGCCCGATGTATGTACAATTAGTTTTAAGCTCGCACTAATGTAATTTTTGAGAAAATGAAAAATAAAGTATAGCGGGGGTGAGGTAATGGATCGCTGGCCAGCTCAGTCCTAGCATATAAAATTCGAGTCGGAACATGCTCCGACATGCATTCAGCGACAGGCGCTCCTACCCTAAGGAACAGGAAGAAACAACAAGCGGTTCACTCTGGACCTGAAGCCTCCTCTCACCGGCCATCCATTATCAGCGCCCACCGATTTCTTCAATACCGAACACCAGGGGTTTTATTCGCCGAAACTACAGTCCACTACAGTCAAGACTCCTGCGTGTAACTTCCTCCACCCCTCAGTACGAGTCGGTAACTGTCCGCTACTGCGACAGCCCGGCGTCCCGTACAAATACCATATACAATGTGATACAATTATGTGAAAAATAGTCAATAAATAAGAAGCAAAACTACAGTTTTTATTTTATTCATGATTCCTACCTATCCAAGGTTTTCCTAATAGTTATTCTTTAAAATCGCACCGAATAAAATGATGAGTGATTGATGAAATGAAATGATTAGTTCTAATATTAATTCACTTCATACTAAGTTCATAGGTTAACCTATAATTCATTGAATATTAAACATAACCTCAAAAAACATAACGCCACCCCACCTATGTTAAGTGTAAGTCGTCGTTATTGTCTTATTTTCCACGATCGGAGACCGAACGCGCTAACTTTTTTCCCCAGCGACGAATATTTTGTGTATGTGTAGTTAGTTAGTTACCCATACTAATAATATCCAGCCTGAATAAAAAATAACCTATGTAAAGAATAAAAATATCTTTTCAGGGTTTTCAACTTTGATTTGGTTCGGTGCTTTACTCTGTCTTCTTGCTTATCTTATCGAGACCTCTACTAAAGCGAATGCTAGCAAAGATAATTTATACTTAGGATGCGTGTTGATTGGCGTGGATCTTATTTGCGGCTTGTTCAGTTTCTACCAAAACTTCAAAAGTTCAAAGGTAAGTAATTACCACCAACCTAATAGCCGGTCATAGGATGTGCTGTGTAAACTGTACTTTTTATTTTCGCTCGATTAACTCTTGTCAGAGTTGTTGTGATCATGATAAGGCATCTGGGGAGGGGGCAGATGTAGCTCTTACGATGTCTCGCACCTTGCTCTATTCGTGAATTGCCTGGTGCATTGTTTAATAGGGCCTCCGATTGTAGTAGATTTGATTAGGTCAGTCTATCTCATTGGTGACCTGCCACCTTTCATTTAATCTTACAGGGCGTTCTATGGAGTCGTAGTTTCGCCTAAATAGAGACATGTTTATGATGAACTATACTCTATTTAAAAAAAATAAGGTAAATATAATTAAATACTGTTTCAGATAATGAAAACCTTCAATAACATGATACCGATGTACGCAACTTGTCTACGCGATGGTGCTATTAATTCAGAGACTTTAGTTAAGGACATCGTGAAGGGAGACATCGTTCATGTGAAAGCAGGAGATGTGGTGCCGGCAGATATTCGTATCATACACAGCAAGGGATTCAAAGTATGCAAAAACTAAAATATTTTAAAAATTTGCTTTCTAGGGGTTAGAATATAAGAATCATATCATTGCGTAAGGTATATTTAACAAAAAAATATGTAACGGTGTCGTATTTATACTCGTAGGAGCCTAAACTTGGTATGTTTTCAAAATGTTTTATTTGTTTTAATTCAAAACAAGTGACTGAAATGTAATCTATCTAATATATAAAATTCTCGTGTCACGGGGTGCGTAATTGAACTCCTTAGAAACGGCTTGGCCTTTTTTATGATACATCATACAAAAATACATACAATCCTAAATTTTCATCCTTCCCCATACCCATATTTTTATGGCGATACGAAGTTCGCTGGCTCAGCTAGTTATTTAAAAAAATCTCGTGTGACAATGTTAGTTACCATACTCCTCCGAAACGGCCTTTGATACCACACACAATAGGTTGACGACCAATCTTTTTTCAATACAAAAAAAGATGTCATAATTCTTCTGTTTTTAATTTATTTGGGTGCTACTACATATGAGTCAAATTTATTCGTATGGCCGTCAGGTCGTTCGTTATCGCCGTTCCGATTTTCATGCTTTTAACATCAAGTGCAGCATTTTACTTAATTTCGGGGTATATCACTTTCTTAGTGTTTCCATACTTACCTAGAATGTTTAAAACTTAGATCTACGAGAATTTAAATAAAAAGCCTTTAAGGAAATGTGTACATAATCGTAATCACGATGTCTTCATGGATCGTGGTCAGAACAAGCAAAGCTTGTATTTGATCGATGTGATATAGGGAAGGGCAGTATAGTTCACTTAATTTCAATGATGAAAAATCGTACATGGTATTAAAATTGATGATCGCCTTTATTTTAAAGTTACGTAAGGGGTGCAACCTTGCATCTTGTGAAGTACTCCCATCGTACCTGAGCCCTCTATGTCCCTACATAGAGGCCCTCCTAATGTTTAGGGTACAACGATAAATATCGTTGCTAGGGCATCAAAAAACGATTTCAACAAACGGACTTTTGATCATGTCCGAGTCGTCAGTCTTTTGAATAGGGTTCTTATTTGAAATTCGTTTTCTAATTTAAATCACGCCGCGGATTCCGTTGTGAAAAGTGAGTTTGATCTTACAGAACAGCACTGCAGGTTATATTCTGAGATATGCTAAGCTTAAATACAGCAGAATACTCTCATAAAGTTGAAGCTACTTCCCCGAACGGGCCCTCCGATTTGAGCAGTAAACCCACGATGCTCCCATTTTTATGACGATGCTTTTGAATACAGGTTGACAATTCATCGTTGACTGGCGAATGCGTGGCGGTACCACGAGGAAATTTCGAAGGCACAGCTAATATTCTGGAGTCACCAAACGTTGCTTTCTTTTCAACATTGTGTGTGGAAGGTTGGGCCGTAGGTTGGTAAAATTGAAATTGTGCATTAATTTATTTACCATCGTTGGAATAAAGTCAATTAAATATACTCCTAATGCATTTAAGTACTTACTAAAAAGAAAATAGATTCAGACTTACATTGTGTAGGTTGCTAGATATAGTCCGGTCAATTTAGACATAAAAATAGGGATTGAATAACAAAAACCCCGACAGAGCCAAATATTGGTGGAGACCTTTGTTTTATCCTTATAAATAAAAATTTAAAACTCCCCATCAATCCCATGCGAGCTTCAAAACTTATGGGGGCCCAAAGGTCAAAATTTTAGGTTTTTTGACTTTTTCTCAAAAACTGTAAGTTTTATTAAAAAAAAATAACTTAAACTAAAATTGTAGATCTAAAAATTCTCTACAAAAATGGTTCCTATAATTTTTTCTCTAATTATCACCGCTCCTGAGATATCGTGATTGTGAGAGTCACGTACTACATAATATGCACACATTTCCTCACCACCTATGAGGTAGTGTACTCGACGCGTTTTTTTTAACTTGGTTTCCCCGGTAGGCCTACCATTCCACTAACCGTTATAATGTAATTTTTAGAGATAATACGAATTTAACTGTGGGAATATTATACATATTGATTTTTGTTATTGAATTTAATTGCCGATTTTAACTGATTTCTTTTCATATTTTAATTTGATTCATATTCTTCATAGTCGACTTCATTAATCATGTCTTCTTCGATTTCTTCTTCTTCTCTTTCTTCTTCCTCTTGCTGGATGTTCAAAAATTGTTCAAATGTAGATAAATCAGTTGTTTCTTCATCAAAATCACATGAATCTTCCTCTGTTGTATTCAATTGTACATTTGAGCAAGACTCACTATTTTCTATGAATTTAAAAATTTCCTCCATCGCAGAGTTTACAGCTTCATCTTGAGGAATCCTTCCTTTATTGCCAGTATTAGGTCTCAGGAAAGATTTGTAACAACTGTCATTATATTTGGCATTAGCAGCTACTAAATCATCATATCTCAGCCTTTTCATCTGCTTCATCGCCACAAAATAAGCAATTTTCTTTAAAACAAAAACTGGATGCACTTACTCGCGCTCTGGTACGAGGTGGACTTATTTTGTCTTTTTGCTGCAGAGATTGAAGTTTTCCGGGTGTATGATTTTCTGCAATCCACGTGTATAGTAACGGACTTTTGACTTCTTAAATACTCAACACTAAAAGGAGCAGGTATAAGAACAACACCACATACCACGGACAATAGAATAGCCAGATGTTATTCAAGGCCATGTGCGTAGAGGGGACTGACTTTAACTATAATTATATTCTCTCAATATGGTATATTCATAATATAGTATATAGTTTATTCATAAAAGAGACACAAATAAGTATTTTTGCTTGCATAAGAACCTGAATATGTAGACATGTAACAAATGTGTGCATATTACCTAGTACGTGACTCTCACAATCACGAAATCTCAGGAACGGTGATACTTCGAGAAAAAATTATAAGAACCATTTTTGTAGAGAATTTTGAGATCTACAATTTTAGTCTAAGGTATTTTTTTGATTAAACTTACCGTTTTTGAGAAAAAGTCAAAAAACCTAAAATTTTGACCTTTGGCCCCGTATAACTTTTGAAGCTCGCATGGGATTCATGGGGACTTTTAAATTTTTATTCATAAGGGTAAAACAAAGGTCTCCACCAATATTTGGCTCTGTCGGGGGTTTTGTTATTTGAATTGTCTAAATTGAGAGGACTAATAAGTATATTTTTATCAATCTAACATAGAATTCATACATTATTGTATCTCCATAAATACATTATTAGACTTAATAAATCAATGAAATTAATAAAATTACTTTGATTATTTACTCTCTAGATAGAGCGTGGCAACGCAGACGACGTTGATAAAATTATCAGCCAAAGGCTGGACTCTTAAGTCGTTTCCCGTCACTTATTTCAATGTTACGCTGAGCGATATACACGTCAATTACAGAGTTTCGTGTTGAAATTTTGGTTTGAAATGCCGAGATGCGCGATAAAAGTTTGCCAAAATTTTAAAGGACGCATAACAACCAACAAAGTCACTTACCATCTTTAGGTAGATACCTAACTTATAATTATAGAATTCACCTTGAAAAATAAAACTATATCATCTTATTACTTAAAAATTTTACGACTCCATCTTGACATTTTCAAAGTGATGTCAGTGTTTCATTCCGTATTTCCCCAAAAAAGTAAGTATAGCGTAATCAAAATATTTACCGATTGCAGCAGTGCGATGGAGAAAAGTTTTTTTTTGTATCGATATAACTTTTATTGCCTCAAAAACTGGACGGAATATCAAAAAATGGAATCGATTTTTGAAAAACTTAAAAGGAGCTTCAGACTCTTACCCATGGACATACTATATAACTAAGACTGAGTACTTTTACCGATGAAACTTCGTACAATTTGAGCTCTGTTGAGTTCAGTTGGTGACTTCTACAAGATTGTACGGTAAAACTCGGTTTACTTTAGAAATTAACTTTTTATAATAGACACAACCACATCACAAGGTTACAATCCACAGAATGCCACGCGCTCGCTCATACGCGGGGAATTCCCCATCACATCTGTCAGTTCATTTTGACAAATAATGCGGCCGAACTTAGAGCGAAACAATAGGGACTTTGCTAATCGATTAAAGTTCGGTTATTTCGTCTAGCAGTTGTGGTAAAAAATTTTTTATTTGATTTATCATAAAATCTAACAGTTAAATGAATAAAATAAGAATAAAACAAGTACAACATTAGTTTACGGTTTGTTTCTATTTTTCTTTTAGCTATAGTACATAGATATTTACTAGATCATCAATATTTTATTAAAAATATAGTAATTTTGACCTAATGACTTGCTTTTATTAAATACAATAGAACCCGTTTAATACGATCACGCTTAATACGATTTCTTGCAATAATACGCCATTTTGCGTCTGTCCCTGCAACTTCAGACATGTTTTCATACATTTCTTAACGTTTAATACGATTCATCATCCCGTTTAATACGCCTAAATCTCCAACTCGTACGACACATATTACCTCTTGCGGTAGCATAGAATTCAACGAAAATGTGAATAACAAACATGAAGAGACCCTAAGTGATAATGATAAAGAAGAAGATGAGTCAACTCCGATTTTGTCACATGCCCAGGCATTATCAGCAGTGAATAATCTAAGACGCTTTAAAACTTCTTTAAATCAAAGCGAAGACGCACTGCAAAAGTTAAATTAGTTTGAAAATATTGTAATTGCTAGTGCCTCAAAATCTTTTTGACAAACTAAAATAAGTGATTAATTTAAATAACGTAATAATAAATATTAATACACTTCATTTTGTGCGACATACATAATTTTTAAATATTGTACATCAATACCTACATTCGAAATTTCCCTATTCCGCAATCCTGCTTAGTACGCTTTCCCGCTTAAGACGCGTTTTTGGTTGAGTCCCTGTGAAATCGTCTTAAACGGGTTTTACTGTAGCTAAGTGGAAAAACAAATAATATTATATTTCAAAGTCATAAAGTTAGCAATATTGTAAAACAAAAATTTTGTGTCACAGAGATATGTATTATATACTTAGATTAAAACAGATTATATAATATGTCAAATTTTAAAGATAAATAATATTAAACTACAAAATTCAAGGCCTTAATCATCATAATATGAAAAAAAGGTCCATTTTGTTGTTTGTTTCTATAGTATTGTACGCGACGACCGAAGCGAGAGAAAATGAACTTACGACAATACGAGAACAATGTATAAAAATGTATCTATAATTTCACATGAATCGGTTGTATACGCATTAAAAATATCATTCCCTTGTTGTCTTATTAGAATGAGTCGGATATCGCAACAATAGATAGCTCTGCCCATAGTAAACCATTGTAAAACTGATAGTTCAGAGCGATATTCCGCCCCGTTCTCTCCAATAATCTTATAAGACTTTATCTAAACGATCGCCATGACGCCAAGCGGTGGCGCGGGGAAACTAGTCAGAATACTGATAGTTCCGACCTATAGGAGGGACGGAGACAATAGGTTGTCCTTGTCTCACATCTTATAGGATTTTGCCTGAGTTGACAATTTTCGATAATAGTATGTTTTATGTTTTGATTGATTTATTTTATGTCTTATTAGATAGTAGGTAGTTATAGGAATAATATATCGAAGTTTTGTATGAATCGTGTTAGTAGTTTAAGCGTAATTAAGGAAAATATTGGGAATAGTTTTTTACAAATAGTCAATAGGATATAGGTATAATTGTTATAATAATGATGTTATTTTGTGTGTTTTTACTTCTTCTATAAAACGGTATATGATAGTTAGGCATTAAGTGAATATAAGTAGGTTTTTTGAGACTTTTTAATTTGTAAACTTTATAGGGCCGTACAGCTGTTGTTTATTGATATTCTTGTAAGAAACTTGTTGTATTAGATAGGTAACACGTAGGACTACGTAAATAAATAGGTATCACATCAATAAGTGTAAAAATATACCGCGTAGGAGACAAAACATGTTTGTATAGAACCGTTTTCTGAGACATGTTGCGCTCCCCACCCGGCGCGCCCGGAGCGCGCGGGTGGGGCAGCGAAGCCCCGTGGCAGGGCGAAGCCCTATGGAGGGGGAAAGTATAAATATTGCGGAGACCTATTTTTTGCGCGCCACACCTAAAATATCGTGTTTACGGACACATAACTGTGTTAAAAATATGCCTAAATGTATGCCCGATGTATGTACAATTAGTTTTAAGCTCGCACTATTGTAATTTTTAAGAAAATGAAAAATAAAGTATAGCGTGGGTGAGGTAATGGATCGCTGGCCAGCTCAGTCCTAGCATATAAAATTCGAGTCGGAACATGCCCCGACATGCATTCAGCGACAGGCGCTCCTACCCTAAGGAACAGGAAGAAACAATCAAGCGGTTCACTCTGGACAACATCAGCTCCTCTCAGCGGCCATCTATTCGAGCTGTACCCGGCGTGCCACGTACATTTTTTGGTCCTTCGAGCCGGATCTACAGCGCCGAGGAAGAATTGAAGAAAAATTATAGAAGATTGAAGAAAAATTATAGAAGATTGAAGAAAGAGGATCGTCGTGGTCAATTATAGAAGATTGAAGACAGAAAATATAGAAGATTGAAGAAAGAAAAATGCCACGAACAAGATCTCAAGCTGACAAAATGAACCAGGCCGAAGAGGAGCGCATCGAGAGAAGCATCGAAGAGCCAGAGCGAACCGCCGCAGGAGAGAATCCTGTCCAACCCCCGTCAAGAGCGCCATCGGAAGGGAGCGACACCGTGACGCGGCCACCGTACCCGCTGCGCCACGACCAACCGCCGAAGTCGCCATCAGCTGCAATGACATTACACCGAACAGAATCGAAGATAGCTGCACGAAGAGCAGCAAAGAAGAAGCGCCTGGCGGCGTTATATGAAGAATTAGAGAAGGCTATAAGGGCGAAGATACGAATGGAAGAGCAAGATAGCGAAGATGAGGACCAAGAGGACCCGCAAATAGAAGATAGAAGAGAAACCAATAGCACACATGGCACCGAGAATGAAGAACGCGTCATCACCTGGCTGGACACAGCGACAAAGGACACCACCCCCGACGGCGGCACCACCGAACCGTATAGAAGACCGACCGTCGAGGACACCGTACAGATTGGTGGGTCCGTCGCACCACTTGCCGAAGATCCAGTCCCAGGGGCGCTGAAGCCATGCATTAAGAAGAGTCCGCCGTCCCGTATTGATGAAGCTCAAGAACAAGTCGCCCCTACGTTGCTGCCACCGCCACCGCCGGTCCAGCAAGACAGAATGAACGTCTCCGAGCTGGCCGTCGCAATCAACGCCGCCGTCCGTGCCGCCGTACCGCCTGCACCGGGTCCACGCTACGTCGGAGAGCTGCCACCCTTCAGCGGCGCGCACACAGAATGGCTCACCTTCAGGGCGGCGTACCTAGAATCCGCAACCTACCTATCGTCGGCGGAAAACTCATCGAGATTAAGAAAAGCCCTCAAGGGGAAGGCAAGAGAAGCCGTGGGCAGCATGCTAATAAGCAACACTACGCCGGGCGACATTATGAAGCAATTGGAGCACAGATTCGGCCGCCCGGACAACATCGCCGCAACCGAGATAGAAAAGCTGCGCCATTTACCCCGACTCACCGATTCGCCGAGGGACATCGTGATTTTTGCAAACAAAATCAAGAATAGCGTCGTCGCACTACAAGTACTGGGGCAAAACGAGTACCTACGTGCGCCGGACATTATGAAGACAATTATAGAAAAGCTGCCATCGACCATTCGTTTTCGCTGGAACGACTTCACCAACCAACATAGAAACATAGAAAAATTGAAGTCGCAACCGGAATTATTATTGTTCGCCGAGTTTATAGAAGTCGAAGCAGAGAATAACGCAAGATACGCCCCACCGGAATACATCGGGAGTGAAGAACACTCTACTTCGCAAAGAAGATTTCGAACACACAGCATAGAAGGTCAAGAAAGAAAAAGTATCGAAGATAGAAGTAAAAGATATTACGTCGAAGACGTTCCGTGCCCTGTCTGCGCGGAACTAAAGCATACGCCGGTCGACTGCAAAACACTGAAGGCCGCTAACCGAGAACGCCGCTGGGAAATAGCGAAGCAGAGCAACCTGTGCTACAAGTGCCTACAGTACAGAAACAGAACACACAACTGCGCGCCGCGCGCGTGCAACAGAGATGGCTGCGAACGCACTCATCATCCGCTACTTCACTTCAAACCGAAAATCGATCAAGAAGAGGAGTCGCCACCGCATCGAACAGAAAAAATAGAAACCGAACGAGTAGCCAGCACACACAGCAGCCGCAAGCGCGACGCGTACCTCAAGATAGTTCCAGTACGCATCACCGGACCGCGAGGTCATTTCGATACCTACGCACTGCTCGACGACGGCTCCACCGTGACACTAATAGAAGAGCGAGCCGCCGAGAAGATAGGCGCCGACGGGCCAACCGAAGACTTCCAGATCGAAACCATAGACGCCGAGCTGCCCGAAACACAATCGAAACGAGTCGCCTTCAACATCGAGGGACAGACGGAGGGCTTCGACATAGAAGCGCGCACTATTCGGCGCATGAAGATTTCATCGCAAACGGTCGAGCCACATTGCCTACGTGACTGCAAGCACCTCCGAGATATAGAAAAGCATCTCGTATACGAAGACGCCCGTCCCACCATTTTGATCGGTCAAGACAATTGGGACCTCCTTATCGCCAGTGAAGTCCGAAGAGGAAACCGAAAACAGCTCGCAGCATCGAAAACCGCGCTCGGATGGGTCCTACACGGCACATACGCGCGCAACACCATCGAAAAAGTCAACATCGTAAATCGCCCGAAGATAGAAAATCGACCGAAGATCGAAAATCGCCCGAAAATAGAAAATCGCCCGAAGAATGAAAATCTAAAAATCGATCATCGACCATTATCGAAGACGAATAGAAGAGCGGACGCGCACATAGAAATTCGCACCGAGCACGCGCCGCCACGAAGTCGAAAAGCACCGCCACCGGGTCAGCATAGCGGCGGGAGCACGAAACACAATGCGACACACAGAAGAAATCGCCCAGCTCGCTATACCTACAGCGACGAGCCGCGAGTTCATCGACCTCGGCCGCCCGCGCCACCGGCGGGAGCCCCGGGTTGGCATCGCATCGATCGCAACAGAAAAAATCGACGGAGGTCGCCGTATAGACAAGAAGTACCGAATCGTTATCGCCAACCAATTCGGGCGAAACGCGACTACACGAGTCATCAACCTTATCAAGATTGGAGGAGCACTACATCGACCTTCGGAGCGGCTGGTGGTGCATACAACATCATCGGTCGCCTCTCCCACGGTGATTGGATGCAGCGACGAGTCAACCGACGCTGCACGGCGGGAGTATGTACGCGACGACCGAAGCGAGAGAAAATGAACTTACGACAATACGAGAACAATGTATAAAAATGTATCTATAATTTCACATGAATCGGTTGTATACGCATTAAAAATATCATTCCCTTGTTGTCTTATTAGAATGAGTCGGATATCGCAACAATAGATAGCTCTGCCCATAGTAAACCATTGTAAAACTGATAGTTCAGAGCGATATTCCGCCCCGTTCTCTCCAATAATCTTATAAGACTTTATCTAAACGATCGCCATGACGCCAAGCGGTGGCGCGGGGAAACTAGTCAGAATACTGATAGTTCCGACCTATAGGAGGGACGGAGACAATAGGTTGTCCTTGTCTCACATCTTATAGGATTTTGCCTGAGTTGACAATTTTCGATAATAGTATGTTTTATGTTTTGATTGATTTATTTTATGTCTTATTAGATAGTAGGTAGTTATAGGAATAATATATCGAAGTTTTGTATGAATCGTGTTAGTAGTTTAAGCGTAATTAAGGAAAATATTGGGAATAGTTTTTTACAAATAGTCAATAGGATATAGGTATAATTGTTATAATAATGATGTTATTTTGTGTGTTTTTACTTCTTCTATAAAACGGTATATGATAGTTAGGCATTAAGTGAATATAAGTAGGTTTTTTGAGACTTTTTAATTTGTAAACTTTATAGGGCCGTACAGCTGTTGTTTATTGATATTCTTGTAAGAAACTTGTTGTATTAGATAGGTAACACGTAGGACTACGTAAATAAATAGGTATCACATCAATAAGTGTAAAAATATACCGCGTAGGAGACAAAACATGTTTGTATAGAACCGTTTTCTGAGACATGTTGCGCTCCCCACCCGGCGCGCCCGGAGCGCGCGGGTGGGGCAGCGAAGCCCCGTGGCAGGGCGAAGCCCTATGGAGGGGGAAAGTATAAATATTGCGGAGACCTATTTTTTGCGCGCCACACCTAAAATATCGTGTTTACGGACACATAACTGTGTTAAAAATATGCCTAAATGTATGCCCGATGTATGTACAATTAGTTTTAAGCTCGCACTATTGTAATTTTTAAGAAAATGAAAAATAAAGTATAGCGTGGGTGAGGTAATGGATCGCTGGCCAGCTCAGTCCTAGCATATAAAATTCGAGTCGGAACATGCCCCGACATGCATTCAGCGACAGGCGCTCCTACCCTAAGGAACAGGAAGAAACAACCAAGCGGTTCACTCTGGACCTGAAGCCTCCTCTCACCGGCCATCCATTATCAGCGCCCACCGATTTCTTCAATACCGAACACCAGGGGTTTTATTCGCCGAAACTACAGTCCACTACAGTCAAGACTCCTGCGTGTAACTTCCTCCACCCCCTCAGTACGAGTCGGTAACTGTCCGCTACTGCGACAGCCCGGCGTCCCGTACAAGTATCATGGCTGTTTTTTTGGTTAACCTAATAAAAATTTGTAACATATATTTAGTGAAATATCCAAGTATAATTTCAATCGTTTACAGATGTTTCAACGTCTATGATTTTTAATTGTGTGAACAATATACTTATTTTGATTTGATCAAGTTTACCCACTTTTTTACGGAATTTGGACTAACCTTACTAATGTTACCGTTACAAAAATAATGACATTTCTCTGTCATTTTGCGAGTGTATGATACAAGATTCGCGTGTTTCGTTTTGCGTGTCACGCACACAAGATATAAAACTTTGTCTGTTTTTATCGCAGTGTTTCCGAGGTGATCATCAGACAGTTCTGGGTGGGTTGGCGGGGCTGGCGGATCGGCTGCGACCTGCCCCGTACCCTTGACCCGGGAGATCCACGATTTTCGTCACAGAGATTATAGTCCCATATGAGTGCATTTTAATGAACTGAAATAGATCAACATTAACAATTGTCTGTGTGCAATTAACAGGTGTGGTGATGTGTTGTGGTGATCTAACAGCGCTGGGCCGGGTGGCGGGGCTGGCGGCTCGGCTGCGACCGGCTCCGTCGCCACTGTCCCGTGAGATCAGCCGGTTCATGCGCTACATATCCGTTTGGGCGCTGTGTCTGGGCATCTTCGTAGCCGGCGCGTCAATAGCAATGGGATACCCGTTTATGCAAACCACCATATTCGTTATAGGAATTATAGTCGCAAATGTGCCAGAAGGTTATTTTTAATGTACATACTGCACATACCTATATTCTTAAGAAGGATTCAGTTTTTTTTATTAATGCAAAAAACTATTTGAGTTGAGAAGCGCGAAAAAAAGATACATATGTCTTAAAAAAGTAAAATACAGGGTGGCCCATTATAAGCGTCAAAATTGCGGGAAAATTCTTAATTTTAATATTTCATATAATCGAATTTAGTGCTAATTTAATATTATTTGCTACCTTATTCAAACATTTGGTACCCCTGTCGCTCAAACTTAATACAAGTTGATTTTATATCTTATAGTGGCCTGCCCTCGCTTCGCTTCGGTGTAGAGCTGTCGTGTAGACTATAGTTTTTGTTTAAAGTCTTGTATCACAATGACTTTCTTCATTATAATTATAAACCTTCCATTCCAAATAAAAAATTGTTGCGTAGTGTAGGACCCGTTGTCGTCAGTGGCGGGGCAAGACCTAAATTTGATGTGGGTAAGACAGATTTCGCGAGGCCCTGTTCTGTGGCGACCTGAAGATGGATTTTATAAAAAAAGAAATTCGCTTTTAAGCAATGCATAAAAAATTTTGAGGTGCGAGGCCCCTTGTACCGCGAGGCCGTAGGCGGTGGCCCACGTCGCCCACGCCTTACGCGCCGCCTCTGGTTGTCGTTGTACCGAATGCACCACTGCTCGGCTGTTCCGATTTGAAAAAATATTTTTGTTTTGGATAGTACATTTATTGACGAAGGCTTTATAACATCGATGAAATTTTATGCAAAAACGGTAAAAATATTCCATTTGTTTGCTTCCGTTGCATGCGCTGGTTGCGGGTAAAGTACGACAAAAATCATGTATCACAGAATTGTTCCCCTTTAAAAGTTCTATAAAAAAGTGTTTAAGATCATATGTCAATGTCTAGTTGTTGAACTTTTACTACAGTGACAATTTTAAATGTCCTTTATATTTCGAGTACAGAAAAAAAAACATTGTAAAGTCTCAAAAAACAGCAGTTTTTAGGTTTACAACCTACCATAACTGCGTCGCTGTCACTGACAGCACAACGAATGGTCAAAAAGAACTGCCTCATAAAGAACTTAGAAGCAATAGAGGCTATGGGCGCCTGTAATACTATTTGCTCGGATAAAACTGGTACTCTGACCGAAAACAAGATGTGTGTACAGCACCTGTGGTTATCCAATAAAATATATTCAGTTTCGGAGCCGGAGTTATCGAGTAAGAGAAGTTTTATACCTACATAACCCAGAGTCAGTGTCGCCGCACACGGGCCACATGCTACAGCCACAAACGCCGCCACGAGAAGGTAGAAGCGGCTACTAAAGTGGCTGAAGCACGCTACAGCGGCCGACTCCATATAAAATTTATGAAAACTACAAGAAATATGCTGGTGGCGGCGTTTTGTGGTTGTGGTCGGTGGCCCGTGTGCGGCGACACTTAGACTGCGTTGGTACCCAGAAGCGTATTTTAAACGATTTGTATCAGCTCGAATTCTATTTTTTCTAGATTCATTGCAAGGATTACAAGGTAAGAATAAATCTTGATAAATTCTATAACTAAAGAAATTTTCTGTCGATCATGTTTTCTATTCGTGATTTTAGAAAAGTTTTCGAAAATAGGTAGTTATTTGTTACCTAGCTACTTTGTTTAATTTCAATTGTTCCTATGAGTGAAGATAAAGTAGCGTACTGTGTATGTAACTGCATATAAATTAAGGCACTAAAACACTCCAGGACTTGACAAGTTCTCGGTGGACATTTATTTTCAAACTTGAGGGACTTTTCTGCTTGAGAGACGATGGACTTTTGTATGCCAAGTTACATATCTAAGTATCTTAAATTAAGTTTAATATAAAAGAATTAAAAATTATCCAGAGGGCTTATCACTCACCGCACCGCACGCAATCATAGAGGAGCTCGATGGCGCTGAATTCACGCATATAATTTACCATTCCTAGAAACCTCTGCAAACTCTTTTTATCATTTGGTATATCATATTGCTTAATCTGAAGAGGACCTCGATGGCGCGGGTGGTTAGCGCGTTCGGCTGCGATAGTTGAAGTTAAGCAACTTTCGCAGTGGTCGGTCATTGGATGGGTGACCAAAAATCTTCTATCTCGAGTTCCTCCGTGCTTCGGAAGGCACGTTAAGCCGTTGGTCCCGGTTGCATCTGCAGTCGTTAGCACCCGCCAATCCGCACTGGGCCCGCGTGGTGGGTCATGGTCCAATCTCCCTATTCCATCCATAGGGAAGGCCTGTGCCCCAGCAGTGGGGGTATTAATTGGCTGATGATGATGATGATGATGAATCACTAATATATGTGGGGGCCAATTATTGTGCCTCGAGGACCAATTTCTATACATTTGGAACTTTTTCTGTTGATTTTGAAGTATACTAATCTATATATATGTAAAACTCAAAGGTGTCCGACTGACTGACATAGTGATCTATCAACGCACAGCCCAAACCACTGGACGGATCGGGCTGAAATTTGGCATGCAGGTAGATGTTATGACGTAGGCATCCGCTAAGAAATGATTTTGATCAATTCTACCCCCAAGGGGATAAAATACCGAAGCGAAGCGAGGGCGAGCCACTAGTACATAATAATATTGAGCTGTTTAAAGGCTTCTTATTTTGACCATCAAACCCTATTTAACAGCATTGTGGAATTTCATTCAATCGAAAACTAATAATTAATTTTCTACAGAGAATTCCGCTTAAGGTGTCAATCATTATATAGTCTACCCTACTTAGACCATAATGTTAAGCTGCCTTGAGGGTATTACTGACGCTTACCTTTTCTTTTTTTTTGGTACGCTGGGGAAATGCATTAAATTGCATACCACATGGTGGTTATGTGGGGCTCTCCTCCCCAGAAGGGGGAGGCCTACCCACTAAAACCCCAGCGATGGCCGCCATCAGGCATTGTACGGGGCCTCAGGATCGAGTATCGCATCTGAGGACCTGCAGCCTTTGTTCCCCTGCTTCCTCCAGGGGAGCCCTTCTCGGGGGAGTGTTCGCAACCTCCCCCATCCACCCTCCTACGACGACACCTCCCGGCCATGCGGGGGTGTCGTCCCTCCCCACTTACGCTTACCTAGCCTTAGGAACCTTAAAAAGTATCGTTATTTTACTATGACTATAAGATTTAGGTATGCATGCATATGGCATGTGGTGATCCCACCAAACAGGCTCTCATAGTCATGCCATGAAGGGTATCTGTTTTACCTGGTAGGTAGGTACAGCGTGGCCGTGGTATAGACAGAGGTGATACTTTTTCATGGCCCGAGGAGGGGGCCGCCTACGGATGCAAGCATCACAGTGAGCGGAGTGGAGTTGCCGCTAAGGCGTCTTAAGCACCTGGGGCTGCTCCTGGACGAGCGCTGGAACTTCAAAGAGCACTTCCAGCAGCAGTCCTCGAGGTTGGTGGGCTCTGCAACAGCGTTGGGGAGACTCCTGTCAACGTCGGCTGCCCAAACAACGAGTGCCGGTGGCTTTACGCAGAAGTCATCAGAAGTATGGCCTTCTACGGGGCGCTGGGATGGGCGTCTGCAATTGAGCAGCGGAATAAGGTGCTCCTAAGAAGACCGCAACAAGTGGCGGCCAACAGAGCGGTGCGGGCGTACCGAATAGTCTCTTGGACAGCTGCCTGCGGCCCTGGTCGGTATGCCTCCGTGGGAACTCGATGCTAGAGTTCTCGCAGGGATGTACGAGGCACGGATGGTATCAAAGGCACGCGGGGAACGACTGGCCCCTGAGGAGCTGGCGCAGATTCGTAGTCAGACGGGGGAGGACCTAATGGGGAGATGGCAATTGATGCTGCAGTCTCCTATATACGGAATCCGAACCCTAGACGCGCTGCGCCCGCTCCTCAGAAACTGGGCGTCCCGCAAGTTCGGGTCGCTGACCTTCCGTCTGGTGCAGGTTCTTACCGGGCATGGATGCTTCGGTAAGTTCCTGCACTGGATTCGGAGGAAATCGATCCCGTCGTGTCATGAGTGCCGCACGGCAGTGAGACAACTTTTGCAGTCCTTGGAATAGTCCGAGCTAGAAGGCTTGGCGCTGAACTCACTGGAGTAGCCTGCATGACACAGGGGTAGCAAGATCATGGGTTCGAGTACGTTATGATATTGTGGGCCTATACTTTTTTTTCCGTCTTAGTAAAATGGATGTTACATCCCCAGATGGTCATGACATCTTTTTTTTTAGCTGTGGAGATGAAGCAGCCTGAGTACGCCACATACACAAAACAATGTTATAACACCCACAAAAGTTTATTTAGGAAATATTAACTCACTTACTCGAAGCTTTTTTAGATTTCAATGCATTAAAAATATGCGGAGCACTCTGCAGTACAGCCACAATAAAAGCTGGAGGCGGAGTCATTGGCGATGCATCCGAAACGGCCATATTGAATTTTCTGGGGAAATATGGCGATTTGAGCGACATTAGAAAAAAATATCCCAAAGTTGCAGAAATACCTTTCACGTCAGCTAATAAATATCAAGTAAGTTTCATTCATAACAGATAGTTTAAGGATGAAGATTTATATAAAATAAAAAGTACTTATTGGTTTGGCTCCTAGTGACGGGAGATGAGAAATCAAAAAGTAAGTGTCTCGCTTGATAACTAACAGCAATGTTAATTTTATTTTGCATCCTATATACTAATTTTGTCTTAGCTAAAATGTTAATGTGCGACGACTGTAAATTATGAACTCTGCTTGTTCTAGAATCAAAGTACAAGCTGATCTTTAATATAACTACTCTATTTCATACACGAGTTAGACTAACTTGCTGTAGTTATAGCTTTAATATTTTTTTCCCTGGCTGAACCTGAACTTGACTTGATAGTTATTACATAAGATCACAAAAATGCGTTCCCTAAAAAATATAGTTTGAAAAAGATGAATGATTAAGAATAAACTTTTTTACCTACCAAAACCTTTATAGGTAGGTACAAATAAAAATTGAAAATTAAACATTTAAACAAATGAAAGTTCTATTCTTACGCAATAAATAATTATTAGGGGGGGAGGCCATTAGGCTATTCTTATTTTTTTCTTACCTAGGGGGAGTGTGTGAAAAACTAGTAAAAATAGTTTAACGTAATAAGCTAATGGCCCCTAGGTACTTATCTCATGTCATTGCAGGTCAGTATACACCAAGACAAAGCTAACTCGCAACACTCGTTGTGTATGAAAGGAGCACCGGAATATGTTTTAAGTCGCTGTGCTACGATAGCTTTAGGAAACGATGACGTAACTCTTACGAAATCTATGAGGGAAGCTGTAGATAATGTCACTGAATTGTTGGCAAATACTGGTATTTATAGGTGACGGAAAACTTCTTGAGCAAAACCACAGATAAATAAACTTGTACAGTAGATGTTTTTGTATGTAAAATTGCTAATGCGCATGCTGCCTTCTCTATGGTCGTTGCTGAAGAAGTTTTACGGTATGTTTACCAAGTTTTAGTACATATGTAAAATAAGTATCTAAAAAAATTAAGAATAAAATTACTGTCTTAAAAAAGCATAAAGATCGAATACCTTTTACAATAAATACGCGTACAGCACGACGCCCGCCTGTATATGTATCTCCTATACTAAACACCTCTTTCTCTAATCGTTTCTATAGTTTTGTTGGACCATTTCTCTACACACTCACCAGATTCTGCTGCAAGAAGAGAGTCACTAATTACCTGCAAAATCTAAACTATTTAGAAACAGAAAGCGTTATGAATTCTTGATTGTAATAAACTCGTCTATCTTCTATGGGCTTGCCCTATTGCGTATATGAAGTACCTCATATATCATATAATGAAAAATTACGTGCCAAGGTCCCACACGCTCCCTCCACACACACACACGCACACACGCACACGCACACACGCACCCCTTCACACACGCACACCCCCACACACGCAAATAAACACCACACCCACGAATTCACATCCACATACACTCACAACCATATACCCTATCATGCAAAATCATGTAAATCTAGATTTTAACGTTGTTCTCTTTTTTTTTGCTTATGTAACACGTTTTTATAGAGGGGAGAGGCTGGTGCACTGAGACACAGGCGTCAGCTTAGTTTGGTCACCAGTCTCACAATCTTAGGCCTAAGTTTTATAATCTGTACTCATGAAGCATGTATAAGATTGTAGAGAGAAAATATAGTTTATTATTGAAGTTATACTTCTTTAGGCGCGTTGTGAAAAAATGATGAGAGTGAAATTTTTAGATGCGCGCGCATCACTGTAACCCAAAAGTAACAGCATGAACATGGCCGCGGGCGCGTTATGAAAAAATCATGTGAGTGAAATTTCGAGATACGCACGCATCACTGTAACACAATAGTAACACCATGAAGTTGGCCGCGGGCGCGTTATGAATGTTAGTGTCTAATCTAATTAGATATCTGTTCGAAAGGTACTTTGAACGATCCACGGAGCTCCATAAGATGATCGCATTGTCAAAAACAATGTTGTCACGCTCGTCGCCTCTGATCACTGTTTTCATATTTATAATATTTATCCACATGTTTCTAGTTTCTATATAGACACAACGTGTTTTAGTTACTTACAAGTGCTAATTACATATGGACTAATAACTTAAATTCAGTAGTGATTTTAATTGAATATTTTGAATATTTATTTAATTTTTCAAATTAAAACTGAACTTAATTGACTGTGTTAACTATCCTTTTCCAGTCCTTTTATTATTTTATTGTAATTACTAATTATTTGCATGCAATTAAAAAATATTTTTAATGATGCTAAAGAAGTATAACTTCTCACGCGCGTACATAAGTTACACGCATCCATTTTTTTTATTCTTTTAAGTTTTTATTTTATCTCAGTGATAAACTATCAATTTTTTGTTTAAGGTGAGAGGATATTGGCCTTTGCTGATCTATCACTAGATGCGAAGATTTACCCATTAAGTTATAATTTCGAAACCGACGAGATAAATTTTCCAACGGATAACTTACGATTTCTCGGTGTTATGGGCCTAATGGATCCACCAAGGCAAGAGGTAAGTAGGTATAAGTAGACACTTAATTAATTAAAAAAAGATACTTTTGTTGAGACAGCCGTAAGAGATATCTCGTAGACACGCCACGGTTATCACCACAGATATACTACCCAAATTTCTGTGGTGATCACCATGGTTTGTAGTTTGTAAATACTTATCCTACAAAATCTATAAACCTCAACTTTCTCCTATCGAAAACATTTCAGTGGAAAAACAAAATTTTAGGTACCTAATTAAAAGATCTACTGCTTGTGCACCTATTTAGTTTTTCCGAAAGTCTATATGACCTAACAAATGTTCACCAAGACGCTTTCCTTTGATTTAAATTCCACATAATGTCAGGTGCACAGTTCGATTGCACGGGTGCGCGCAGCCGGCGTCCGTGTGATGATGGTGACAGGTGACCACCCCTCGACCGCGCGCGCTATCGCGGTAGCGGTCGGCATCGCTACCTCGCCGCAGTGTCACGTCGTCACCGGCACTGAGCTGCGGGATATGACCCCACAACTGCTCATGAAGACGTTGGAGAAACACTATGAAATAGGTTTATTTATAATTCGACAGATTCAAGCTCGATGGTGCAGGTGGATAGGATAGCGAGTTCGACTTGCGATCGTAGAAGTTAAACAAGTTTCGCATTGGATGAGTGACCGAAAACTTATTATCTCGAGCTCCTCCGTGCTTTGGAAAGCACGTTGGTCCCAGCTGCATCTGCAGTCGTTAGCACCAAGCAATCCGCACTGGGCCCGCGTGTTGGGTCATGGCCCAATCTCCCTATTCCATCCACAGGTAAGGCCTGTATCCCAGAGTGGGGACATTAATAGGCTGGTGATGATGATATCATATTAGATAATTATCCAAGTTTTATATAAAGTTTTTGCTAGTTGGCTAGATATCCTCGACCTGCGAATAGGAGCCGCCGCGCCATGAAATACCTCACGTAGTTTTTTGTATTGTGATTTATCTAAATTTAGAAAAATATACCTACGAAACATTGCAGGATAACTTCTTTTCGAAACACGAAACACAGAAGGAAGGTATCAGTCGTCTGACCTACGTATCGTTGGTACAACATTTTTTTTTCTTTTAATTCGTTTTTAAGAAATTCTATACTGGTTCACATTGTCATAGAAGAGCTCCTCGGGATAATAAGTTTTTGTTACACATCCAATGTCCGACCATTGCGAAAGTTGCTTAACTTCTACGATTGCAGACCGAACGCGCTATCCACCTGCGCGATCGAGCTCTATAAAATGATATGACTTTCAGTTTATAAGCAGATTTTTGAAAGTTATTAGACAACGACCAAGTTCTGCATAAGTAATCTTTTGGTATCGTAATGTGAGAAGGGGTTTGTTATCGACTCAGTGTTTGCGCGGACATCCCCTACGCAGAAGCTTCAGATAGTCGAGGCGTGTCAGCGAGCCGGTGACGTGGTGGCAGTCACCGGCGACGGGGTCAACGATGCTCCGGCATTGCGCCGTGCAGATATCGGCATCTCTATGGGAATAACTGGCTCTCAAGTAAACATATTCAGGCTTTAATGCATTTAAATAGGTCTTTCGCCTTTAATCCACCAACACATTCAAAGAAAGTACTGCGATGCGAAACACCACTAGCACAACATCTGCGTCTGTGCAACGATAATTTCGCAGTTCCTTGCGAAACAATACTTTTTTTTAAAAAAATTTTTTATAGGTACTCAGTAACACTTAAAATAAGGTGGGGAGGGATAATTTGCTGCGCCTCGAATAAAGAAAAATTGGTTGCGATACTATAGGCTACAACTGTCCTATCCAATGATAGGTTTTATCTAACAGAAAAGAGTTTCATTTGTTGCATTGCATTCTGTTTATGGGAGCGAGGGGCTCCCAGTCCACCAAAAGTGGACAAAGTTAATGCAAAGTTTTACAGATTACACTTCAGGAGGATGTTTCATCCGTTTCACCAATTTAATATCTAATATAATGGTTTGATTTTACCAATTTACTTATATTCAATAGATTTTTCGTCTAATCTTTGTAAGTTTTTAATGCTACCTAATATTTTACAGGTTTCTAAACAAACAGCGGATATAATTTTGATGGACGACAATTTTACCACCATAGTCATGGGAATAGAGGAGGGTAGAAAAATATTTGACAATTTGAAGAAATCTGTTTGTTACATCCTCATTTCTAATGTTCCCGAAATACTGCCCGTTTTGATGTTCATTCTGTTTTCTATACCATTACCATTGGGTTAGTAGTTAGTTTATATTTTCTGCAAACCAAGTCAGTCTGTCCATTTTTTAAATCCATACTAAGTAATATTATAAAACCGCTCAACCAATATGAATGAAATTTGGTATAGATAGTTTGTGTTCTGGGGAAGGAAATAGAATAGTATTTATCCTAGAAATCATCCTTCAAGGGAGTGAAAAGCGGGAGTGGAAATTTATATGGGAAACTAATATTTCAACACAAACGAAGTCGCGAGCACCGAATATTATGTTATATATTTTTATTATGCTTACTAGGATTCCGTACTCAAAGGGTGATAAACGGAATCCTGATAATAATCCTCAGATGTCTTTTTTCTCTTGTATGGAAATAGGTACACACATTAACAGATTACGTTTATGGGCCCGATTTAACAACAATAGGGTATATAATAAAAAAAAAGTAGCGAGCCTTACAGTAGTCGCGTATGATGTATAACATTTGAAACCTCACCTTATATTAGTAAAAAAAAATGGGTGCGTGTACTTATGTAGGCGCGTGAGAAGTTATCCTTCTTTGGCATCGTTTAAAATTAGTTTTTAATTGCATGCAAATAATTAATTACAATAAATTAATAAAATGTCTGGAAAAGGACACAGTCAATAAAGTTCAGTTTTAATTTGAAAAAATAAATAAATAATCAAAATATTCAATTAAAATCGCTACTGAATATAATTTATTAGAACATATGTGATTTGCACTTGTATGAAACTCAAACACGTATTCCGAATATACAAACTAGAAACATGTGGATAAATATTATAAATATGAATACCTATAACTGTTACTTTATTACAAAAAATAAAGATGTGGTGTTTGGTTCTACTACACCAATGGTCAAGAGATGGCGCTGTAGTCTCCTGAATCGCGCTTTGGTTCCGTTGTTCCAGATTAATAAATACTTTTGATAGGCCTTCACAATGCAGTCGTTAGCACCCACAAAATAGAGATTCTATTTCTATTTTGTTGGTAGTTTTTCTTAATGTGCGGTAAACACAAAAGTAACAGCATGAAGTCGCTTTAGCGACCAACTTCATGCTGTTAATTTTTTGTGTTACAGTGATGCGCGCGCATCTTAAAATTTCACTCTCATCATTTTTTCATAACGCGCCTAAAGAAGTATAACTTCAAAAAGGAAATAAAACCTACTGCAAAACGAATAAGCCATTTGAACATTATGTTCTAAAATCAAATCTAATAGCGCGCGCTTTCGCGACTTCCTATTACACACTTCCGTCCCATTTCACGAAATCACTTCCACAAATTGCAGGAAAGCGAGAGGAAAGATGTTACACATCAAAAAGAAATAAAACCTACTACAAAAGGAATAAGCCATTTGAACATAATGTTCTAAAATCAAATCAAATAGCGCGCGCTTTCGCGACTTCCTCCGTCCCATTACACGAAATCACTCCCACAAATAGCAGGAAAGCGAGAGGAATGAAAAAGCAAACGCGACTGTCGTGGCACACTCTGTTAGAGACATTCTCATGTAACACACAAGAAATGTCCTTTGTTCTGTGCCGTCGTCCCTCTGCTTGGGTGTTAGATGTTAAACGTACGTTCTTTGTGCTGGTATGGTAGTTGTAGGTGGGTGTCAACTCATGGGTACGTAAGGACGGAATCAAATGTCGTTAGAAAGTCCATCGCCAAACTTAAATCTCCAGGAGTGATGACAATACTGTGCGTGGACCTCGGCACGGACATGTGGCCGGCGATGGCGCTGTCCCATGAGCTGGCGGAGTCGGACGTGATGGCGCATGCACCGCACTCCTCCGACCCACTCGTGTAAATACGTAAATATGTAGTATCCGGAAATTGCAGGCATTCTCCTTTCTCCCACCAATGGGCGGTATGGTACCAATAGGGAGTAGGCTTCCATTGGCATCATTTGGGTACGGAAACCAAAAAACTAAATGTCCTTAAGAACAATAAGAAGTCCATCCTTCGACATCGCACGACAACATACCACCCATTCACCGCCAAGAAACTAAACGTCAGCCTCGAGAAAGTCCATCGAACGGCAACATTTTCAGGAGTGATGACAATACTGTGCGTGGACCTTGGCACCGACATGTGGCCAGCGGTGGCATTGTCCCACGAACTGCCGGAGTCTGACGTCATGGCGCGACCGCCGCGCGCCTCCGACCCGCTCGTGTCCGCTCGTATGTTGCACCTCGTGTACGGAAACCTCGGCATGGTGGAGTTCGCCGCCGGCATGTACGCGTACTTCGTGCTCATGGCCAGTCACGGCTTCTATCCCGCTGATTTGTTTGGTAATTAAATCATGTTTACATAAACTGGCCAGGTAATTAAGATAGTCGGTATCTGGCTGCTACAAAGTAGTCGTGCAAAAGCTTTTCACACACAAATCTGAGTAAGAACCATAACGTACCGTGCTTTTGCTACGAAGCAGAGGCAATCTTTACAGGCTTAATTCAATAGTGCTAATGAATCCAGATGCAGCTGGGACCAAAGGCCCTGCACCTCTACTGTCACCTCACAAGGAATACAATGCCTGTTGTGAGGTTATATAATAATGTGTAAAACCATGTAAAACTATACTTCGCCAACCGAGGTAATCGTGTTCCTGTACGGACAGAGGCCCAAGCTCCGTAATTGTATCGCATCGTCAAAGTTTTTATGAAATGTAAGCAGCGCCCCTACTGAACGTAACAACAAACTGGGTTATTCCATACAAAATTCAATTTGGCGTTGACGATAGGAATTCGGAGCTGTCAAATTATTTTCTTCGGCCCCAGGTATCAGAGCGCAGTGGGACAATGAGGCAGTGAGCGACGTCAAAGACTCGCTGGGCCAGGAATGGACGTACGCGGAGCGTAAGGAGCTCGAGCGCGCCAGCCAGGCCGCCTACTTCGTCGCCGTCGTTATTACGCAGATGATGAACGGCATCATATGCAAGACTAGGTACAACTCTCTCTACCATGTTGGTATGTTCTGCTGGTTTCTTAAAGTATATTAGGTTAATGATTTACTTCGGAGTGATAGAGAATGGAGCAATAGCTCCGTGAAATTTCGACATTTCCATCACGACATTTCATATGACAAGAGGACACTTAAGGACTAGTTTAATCTAATCTATATAGTAGGTATAAGTACTAACAGATTTTCCAACACAATGGCTAGGTACTATACGAATCTTTAGCATTATAACGGTAAACAGAGGTTGCTTAAAAAATATGCAATTTAGTGGTGATGTGCCGAGTCGGTTAATTTCGTATTCGGGTATTTTAGTACTCGTTAGAAAAAGATTCGAATTAGAACTCGAGTCGGAAGACTCGGACAGGTGAATACCGCTAGTACTCGAATGAGTACTACCACTAGTATTCGAATACTTTACTGGTAGCTCGAGTTTTTTTTTGAATCGGACCTTGAAATTTGCTTCATCATCATCATTAAAAATCATGTTATATGAATGATAGGAAAATATGTTTATAATAATAGATTAAATGTATAATCAGTCATTTATTAATATTATAATCATCATATTAATAAGCTCCCGGTCTATATTCTTCGAGTTGCCTTGAATAGCACTTTTTGACAAAAAAGTCATCTGTAAGTCTTTTACGACTTTTCGCTGATACTTGGTCAATGTCATTTGATTGACTTGTAGATGACGATGCTAATGAGTCTAATGACTCCAAGTCCAAATCAGAACTCTCATCCAAGCTTTCGTTTTCATTTTGCTTACTTTTTGATGGGTGACATCTTTCCTCTCGCTATCCTGCAATTTGTGGGAGTGATTTCGTGTAATGGGACGGAAGTGTGTAACAGGAAGTCGCGAAAGAGCGCGCTATTTGATTTGATTGTAGAACATAATGTTAAAATGGCTTATTCCTTTTGTTGTAGGTTTTATTTCTTTTTTTAAACGGTTTTATTAAACGGTTTTTTAGCTCACCCCGTTTGTTTTATTCTTGGGTCAAATTTAGTAATTCAAATTTCACCCTCTTCCTGTCAACCGATTAATATGAAATTTTGTATACACTTTGGATTTTGGTGACAATACAAATATGTTTATTCATTATCATTATAAATTCCAGATGGCCGCCGCTACAAAATGGCGGATAATGTATGTTTTATTAATCCCATCAATAACGGGCAAGAAACCTTGCAATAATGAAGCACTAAATGAATTAAACAGAATGCGAAATAAAAACTAAAAACTAGAAAAAAAAAATAGGTAAAAAAACTTTAAGTTAAACGGTTTTATGTTAAACATACATTGCAATGTTTAAGATAAATGTACTAAAAACCAAAAAATAATAAAATAGATACAGTTGTGGGAATTATAAACATATGCATAGACTAGACTAAAATAAAACCGTGGGGCACGTTAATTGTCTACAATCGTTGATTAAAATGTTTGTTTTGTAATGTTACACTATAATTAGGCAGTTGTTCAACCGACAACGATGGACGTGTGATAAGTAGGGCTAGAATGTGGAAACAAGCTAGCAAGCTCGATTATAAGCGAGTTTTAGGGTTTCATAGTGGTGAGCGAGTAGTACTTTTATCATATGTTTTGTCGATTAAAGACAAACTACGAGCAGTGAAACGATTCCTCGCCAGCCAGCAGTGTGAATGTCCAACGATAAACTAATTGAAACATCTCTTTTATTTACATGGAGTGTATAACTATTGGAATTTCCATGAGCAAGAAAATAGTAATTTCCTCACCGTCTGCGGGCCCACTGCCTAACGACGAATTAAACTATTCTTCTATCGCACATTAAGTCGATAATTTGTAGACAATTGACGTGGCCCTCGGTTTTATTTTTGTCTAGTCTATGCATATGTTTATAATTCCCACGACTGTATCTATTTTATTATTTTTTGGTTTTTAGTACATTTATCTTAAACATTGCAATGTATGTTTAACATAAAACCGTTTAACTTAAAAAGATTTTTTACCTATTTTTTTACTAATATAAGGTGAGATTTCAAATGTTACACATCATACGCGACTACTGTAAGGCTCGCTCGTTTATTTTCTATTATCGCTGTATAAATCAGGGGATGTATTTCTTTTTTAATGTTTTAATAAATTTGTGGTGTTTCCAAAATTAAAAAATGTTTTTTTACACTCTCTGCACTCCACTTTTTTATTTATTAAAATATTATAAAAATTCCATACTTCGGATTTTTTCTTCGAAGCCATCCTATCACAAAGTCACTAGTTAAAAAACAGTAAAACTTTACACAAATTCTACAGTTAAACTAACTGGTAACCGAGAGTTCTACTAATTAAAATAGATAATTACTTATAAGAAACAAATATGTAATTAAACTTTTGTTAACATCTCATTTAACTGATCGGCCGAGTAGGAAACATAAACACTTTCAAACCTGCACCGACTCATCGACACTTCACGTTACTAACTTCACTGTACGAGTACAACGACTGAGTATTCGAATACCGTTAGTACTCGAAACCTGTACTCGAGTACTGCGGCTCCGAATACAATATTTCGAGTACTCGAGTACGTGAATACCTGCTAGGTATTCGAGTCAGCCTGACTCGGCACAACTCTACTATTTAGGTACATGAGCCAGAGTATCTATAGTATGTTAGTTTTTTTAACATAAGTGAATTAATGGCCGCATGGTAGCTTCATAATATTATATAACTCTATGTGTATGGTCCACCTACCCATACTCTTTTTTTCAGGTCCGTGCCCATACCTTAGATTCTACTTTCAAATTATTCAGATATCACAAGATACGATATTCCTTCGACTTCGCAAATTCTACTTTACTAAATATTACGTGTGAAATCTGCACAAGCTACTATCTGGCTGATTCGGCTTTTTGTATAAAATTGTAAGCAAGTAATGTGTTTTGGTTGGTTCCTTTATCCCGAACTTTCAACGAGACTGGGTGTCTATTTACGATTTGGTTCAAGGTAGTTAATAGGCCTCCCGTTTATTCACCCGTATTGCAGGGCCCTTCTGCACCATATTCTACGAACTTAGCATACGACAACGTTCCGAAGATTCTGAAATTGTAAAACTTTTTCAGGAATGAAAAACAAAGTATTGAATGTTGGTCTCATATTTGAATTAGTCTTATCCTGCATAATATGTTACGCTCCCGGAATAAACGATTTCTTTAGAACATATCCTTTGAGATGGAACTGGTAAGTGGGTAGCTAACTAAATGTGTTCAGGGGGCCATTCGCCTAACGGAAATGCTTTGGAAAACGCTAACGCTTTCAATTTTATTTTGTTATTTCTGACCGCCGAAGGTTTTCAAATACCTCACGCTCATTTTCTTTAATATTGTTATTACCAATGCAAAAGAAAGAAAAAGAGCGCGAGGCATTTGATAACCTCAGGCGGCTAGAAATAACAAAATGAAATAGTAAGCGTTAGCGTTTTCCAAAGCATTTCCTTTAGGCGAATGGCCCCCAGTTCTAATCCTCATAGAATTAGAAATAGTGTAGGTGATTAGTTAACAAATACTGATTTTGATTTACTTATTCAGTACCTACTAGCGGCCGTTCTCGTGACTTCGTGTGTAACTAAACTTTATTTTTTTGAGAATCCCACAGAAACAATTTTTTTCGGGGATAAAAAGTATCGTATTTCTTAATCCAGGCAATAAAGAACTGTCGTGTGCCAAATATCATCCAAAACAGTTCAGACGTTTTTGCGCGATTTCGTTTCAATCTTCTAGAATATACTTACTAACTTTAAAGTTTAATATGAATTAAAAATAATAACAAACCTCTATTTTCTTAAAAATAACCTATAATTAAACTTAAGATCCACTCCACTCCTGGAAACTAGAAAAAATAATAAATCAATAAGCACAGCCAGGACAAACCGCTTTGTTTAGCTATTTCTATAAACAACTTGTTAACTGAGACATAATATTTCTGTCGGTTTCTTATTTTTAAATTCTATTTTAAATATTCATCGCTTCTTAAAAAATTCAGTGATATTGTGAATTCCGAGTGACATTGTCCATTCCACCGTATTGGGTAAGTGTTGCAAATCTTAACGCTATCATACACGATTTTGTAAATTTAAAACTACAAATCGTCTTCGATATGAGGGTATATTGTTGCCTTAATTTATTTATGCTGTTTTCTTATCAACAGTCATTGGAAATAATATATCTTTTAATTATCCAATTAGAATTGATAATGTTAAAGACTATCTATTGTTAATTTTTTACGGTATTAAAATAGGTAGGAAATTAATTATTTTGTGGTATCTCGCTTGATATAATATCAACTTTGGCGTGAATAAGTGTTTCACTCGGATGGGTTTTGTTTTTGTCATCGGTGCTGACGGAAAGCGTCATCGTATCAGCTCCGTTGCAGAGATAAAGAAAATCCCAGCTCCAGTTGCGGTTACACCTGCATCACCGAAGCCTGTAGCGCAAACATCCACCACCACTAGTGAGGTAATAAAAGTCCCAGCTCCTGGTGCGGCGAGGGCTGAATCACCGAAACCTACTTCCCAAATATCCACCAGGGGCAAGCGCATAGCCAATGCGGCAGTCAAGAAGTAGCTTTAAGTTAATTTTACATAATTTATTTATTGTTTGCTTTTTGTATCGTGTTCGTGTCGCTTCATACTGTTTTCACTTAAACTTTTAAACCCTTCTGTGTTCTTCTCATTAGACCGTGTCGTTTTGCTTCAATAACTGTAAAATATCGGTTAAAACTCATTTTATTCATCTTTCGAAGGTATATTAATAAACACCAGTTTTCTTTTTTAGTAACCTTTTTTTTTTTTTTTTTAATTTATTTAAAGCATTGGCTTCCAGGGCCACTAGCTTAAACATAAACAACTTGCTTAGTGAAAATAAGATATGAATAACAGGAATTAACAAAAATAAAACAGGGAAATCTAACATAATCAACTAATTACTTAATAATAACTTAATATAAAATAAAACTTAAAGAAACAGAATTTTAAACATATTCATAACAATCACAAGGGACCAAATGTATTAATGATAAAATCATAAATAATGCTATACAGTTCTCTAAATCTTAACAAATGTTTAACATTTTGAGGGAAATCATTTATCTCTATCAAATCTTTACAAGAGCATATAAAAAGAAGTCGTTGAATATTAAAATACTTGCAATCAAAGAATAAATGTTGAAGATCACAGTTTGGATGTTTACAATATTTACAAATTGAGTTAACGCTCAGTTTAAGGCGATAAAGATGACATGGAAATTTACAGTGACCTATTCTTAATCTACATAAACTAGTTATAAAATTTCTACTTATAAAAGGTGGTTTTTCAAACCAAGCTTTTATACTGGGCACAGGGACAATTTCAGCATGCCACCTGCCTTTCTCTAGCCGTGAAATACTTACATCTAATGACCATCGTTGAATCACATTGTGTTTTAAACAAGTAACTAAGTCAGAATGAGGCACCTTGTAGTCCTCGATAGTAGAAATATTCGGAGTATATCGTGCGAGTTTGTCAACAAGCTCGTTACCGAAAATGCCCGAATGTCCGGGAACCCAACAAAATTCAACTAAAAGATTACTTCTATGAAGTATGTAAACAAGGTGTCTCAATTCATATAATAAATAATTACACTGACTACTAATACATTTTTGCTCCAAGGCTTGTAATGCACTCATTGAGTCACATATTATTAAGAATTTGGTAAAGTTTGATGACTCAAAATTACACATAATATATTTTACAGCATAAATCATACCAAGAATTTCAGCAGAAAAGATTGAAAAGTTATTATTACAAGAAAACACTTTACCGTATTTATTACATGAATCGTAAAAAGCGAAACTAGTACGATCATTGGTTTTAGAACCATCCGTGTAAATTTTTACGTAATCGTTTTTCTCATTCAAAAATTCATAAAAATGTTGCTTAGAGACAAAGCGAGTTAAAGTGACCGTAATGTCACGTAGCATTGACTGAAAACAATATGTAAAACAAGCGGTTAAATTCACCCAGTGCACGACATCCTGGAATTTAAAGTTTAAATATGAAATAGCTTCACTTATATTAGGAGAAGCTGGCAAGGGAATACTATTAAAATCTGGAATATCATAGTCTTGCAAGTAACGACAGACTATAACGTTATCATGACTAACTAAATTTAAACAAAACTTTTCGGTTAAATAGCTTCTTCTAATGAATAAAGGCGGCACTCCAGATTCAACTTCTAAAGAATTTATAGGGGACGACATCATGGCCCCAGTGATAACGCGTAAAGCTTTATTTTGTAAAATGTCTAGTTTACGAAGCAACTGTTTAGATGCTTCAGCATAAAACATACATCCGTAGTCAAATTGGCTACGAACCAAAGAAATATATAAATTTTTTAAGATTTTTGGATCAGAACCCCAACTTACCCCAACTAAAGATCTCAAGATGTTTAGACGCAACTCTGCTTTTTTACTTATATTATTAATATGAGGACCCCAAGACAATTCTGAATCAAGCATAACACCTAAATACATTTCAGTTGTCTTAAAGGGAATTAAAGCATTATTATAAAATAATCGAGGACTAACTGGACAACTATACGCAAAGACCATAACTGAACTTTTTTGTACATTTACATCAAGTTCAAGGCGATCAATAAGGTAATTACTTAAATAAGCAAGACAACTATTCATAATACGTTCTCCTAGTGAAAGATCATCACAATCTAAATATAGTACAAGATCATCCGCATAAAAAGAATATTTTATAGAGCCTGGAATATGCTTCATAAAATTCACAAGACATAGGATAAAAATAAGAGGAGAAATTACTGAACCCTGTGGCGTACCTTTAAAAGAAGTTCTTGAACCATACAATTTATTACTAACCTTAAGAGATATTGTACGACCATTCAGAAAATTGAATATCCATGATAAAACAGATCCAGGAATACCAAGAGTTTGTAAGCTTTCAATTAAATACTCATGTTTAATGTTATCAAAAGCACCTTTTAAGTCTAAAAAAACAGCTAGAGTAATTTTATTTTTATTAAGGTTATTTTGAATATCACCCAATAAGCAACCTAAGTTATACATAGTACTTTTACCTTTACGAAACCCAAATTGATAATCTGGAATAAGTGAATTGTGTTCAATGAACCATTCTAAGCGGTTCTTTAACATAGTTTCAAATAGTTTAGCAAAACATGAAGTTAATGAAATAGGCCTATATGCATCTAAACTATTACAATCCTTGTTAGGTTTTAGAATGGGAACAACAAACTGCCTTTTCCAGATTGGAGGAATCTTATTATGTGACCACAATTGATTATAAATATTTAAAAGAATAAGTTTAACATTTTTAGGTAGATTTTTAATAACAGAATAGGGGATATAATCAGGACCAGGTGAGGTGTCCTTTTTCTTATCTAGAGACGCTTGTAACTCAAAAAATTCAAAAGGATCACGAATCCATTTAGCAGATTCAGAACCTACAGACAAAAATAATGAATCTAAATTGTTAGGGACGGTTCCACAAACTTGGGACCCTAATTTATCTAAATAAGCAGAAGCATTTGAAGAATTGTCGAAAAAACGTGTTTTCGCGCTAAAGCCTAACTTGGCAAACTTAAATCTCTTTACGTAATCCCATATTAGCTTTACAGGCGTTTTTCTGTTAAAAGAGTTACATAGATTGGCCCAACTTAAAAGTTTTTGTTCCGATAATATTCTTTTCTTTTTAGCGTCAAATCTTTTATAGAGAATGTAATTTTCCAAAGTGGGGTACTTTCTATAAGATTTTAAGGCAAGTTTAGATTCATTAACAGCTTTAGAACATTTGTCATTCCACCAAATAATAGCCTTGCGTTTGATATTTTTGGTATGGCAACAATCATTCTTCTTAGAAAATGTCAACAACACGTTACTTAACGTTTTAGTAAATGAATTATAACTATTTAGGGGGTCAAAATCTAAAGAAAAAGTGGAAAAACTATCATCGCAGAGCCGGGAAAACTTTGACCAGTCTATTTTATGGAAGTTCATACCCGACAATCCTATGTTATCAGACAAAGGAGTGGTATTACTTGCCGACAAGGCTTCGTTATCAATATTTAAAGAAACATTATATAAAACAGTTATGAAAACAGGAAAGTGGTTGCTGCTCAAAGGATCATCATGCACAGAAAAAGAACAACTAGAACTCACCGTAGATGATGCGAAAGCCAAGTCTAATACATTACCATTTTGACCATACGGAGCAACAGTGGTAATAGTGTAGTCATTCAGGCAAACTAGGTTATGTTCATCTGCAAAATTATAAATTATATTACCTCTTCTATCATTAAATCTGGAGCCCCAAGCCGTTTGGTGAGCATTGAAATCTCCGATGATCAAATAATTCCTATTCTTTATGCAAGTAAAAGAATGTGAAAGCATATTTAATTTAAATCTCCCATTAGGAGGAGGAGGTATATATACAGAAAGAATATCAACATAAATAGAGCCAACTTTTACAGAGAC